TAGAAGCTGTTTCTAAAACAAGGAGAGAGAGAGAGCTCTCTCCTGTCAGACTGAGAGGTTAGGGACTCTCTGAGTGTTTAGATAGTTAACTTTAGTCTAGTTATCTCAGTGGGTCTCAAACGGTTTGGTCACCATTTATGAGAATAAATGAAAAACAGTTATGAAATACTATATGACAGTAAAACAAGAATACAGTTTTAAAGGGAAGTGATTTGTAAAATATCCATAAAGAAAAAGAAAATATGTGTACAGTTCTGTTTCATATGGATGTTGAGAGATGTATCCATAGATCTCTTAATTTTGCTCTCAAAGTGCACCAGATTGATGAATTTAACTTCAATATTTTAATAAAAATCTTCCCGGGGGAGCATACCCCCGGACCCCCCCTAGAGAAGGTGAGGTCCACCGTAACACTGTACACATGAACGTTTATTTTTTCCGTTCACCAAAAAAAAAATCTCAGTCCAAGCTGAACTCAAAGGTTGGCAGCCCTGGTTAATGACATGAATTAATCTATCTGTGTACAGTAGGTAGCACTTGCCCGCTACTGTCCGAGTTTACACCATAGAAAGTTTATACAGCACTTTTCTCAGAAACTACCGTCAGAAAGTAGATCGTTAGTTACAAACGGGAACATTTCCTGGAATAGCTGCAGCCGGGGTCAAGCCACCAACAACGGAGACCGAAATTACGCCGGGCCTTAACCTCCACCGCTGGACGACGCTGAAGTTGGCTTCCGATTCAGAGCTTCTGATTCGGCAAAATGGGGAAGTTGATTTTTCAACATTTGTATTGAGAAAGTCACTGCAGAAGTCATGTCTCTCCATTTCATTTCTCGTCTGCATTATCATGTCTTCTTTTTCACTTTGAAACAACAATTTCAAGAGTGCATTACCATGGTAATGCGCTCTTGAAATAGTTGAAACTGTTGAAACTGAGTTTATACTGTAGATGCGAAAAAAGCAGCGAAATCTCCTGAGTTGCTCCTGACTGGGCTGCTGTGCAGGTCTACAGTATAAACTCTATGGATAATGGGGTAATGAGTATCATGCCTGCAAGCATTTGGGTGGTCAGGGGACTGCAAAGGTAGGAACATGATGAGGGCAAATGGTGGTAAGGAGAGGAAGAGCAGGGTCTGAAATTATGGCAGGTGTTAGTGGCAGATAAATGAAAATTATTTATATGTTGATAAATGAGACAAAGAATTGACAGAAAGCTTTTTATGAAAATGTCTTAGTATATAGCTCAAATTAAGAACAAGCACACTAATGGCTGAATTATGGTTCTTCTAACACAGGCCACAATAACAGCTCTGGATAAAGTCGGAGGTATGCAACTGGCAGAAGCACTAGGAGAGATCGAGTGTGGCCAGTTAGAGGAAAAGTAAAAGAAAAACAGTCGTTTTCTTTTGAAACAACAATTTCAAGAGTGCATTACCATGGTAATGCACTCTTGAAATTACCATGGTAATGCACTCTTGAAATTGTTGTTTCAAAGTGAAAAAGAAGACATGATAATGCAGAAGATAAATGAAATGGAGAGACATGGACTTCTGCAGTGAAAAATCTAATTTCCCTCAGTTGCATTTTCACAAATAGAATTAAGGTTTCACAACCTTATGTCTAGTGCCTCATGTGCTTGTTAGCACCTTTATATATACAGTCTATGGTTACCACCTGATGTTGTATTTTTTTAAAGATCAACTGGTCACAATTGGCTATGTGGATTATCTTGCTGCGGGATATTGTAAACAAATCAAAAACACGCGGAGTGGTTGTGCAGGAGAAATAGCTAGCTTAGTAGACCCGGTTTTTGCGAAATCGCAACCGATTTCAAGCATCTTTCTCAAAGGATTGCAAAACATGAGAGCAGCAGGAGAACGCGAAAAAAAGGGCAAATTTAGCTAACAACCCAGGTTTACAGTGCACACAAATGAAGAATTGAACAATGACATTACATGGCCGCAAATCGAAAACACAGTAGGCCTATGGGTGTGCTCATTTGAATTATTACATTAGTCAAAGTAGGGGAATTGTGGGACAGTGTATTTTTGGTATTTTATCAAATTGCATAAGTGTTTGTTTTAGCAACTTTCAAAAGTATGTTTGCCCCACTATTGCTCACTTCTCTATTTCCCTGTTGTAGAAATCTAGCCTGCCCATTTTTCATTGGACATGTTGCCTTGGTAAACACAGATGCAGGAAATAATATTTATTAAGGGTGCAATACATGTAATAGTGTCAATACCTGCTGGCATGGTAAACCACTAGTGTGACCATTAGCTGCAGGCACTTAGTAATACCCTTTGTTTGCCTTTTCTGTTGGAACAAATACAACATTACAATCTGATCATGACTTGTCAACATTGAGATATCTTTATCCTCAAGATACCAACATTTCTCTCTTAAACTGGAGCTAGTCTCACCTAACATATTTAATATGGCTTGAAACAAATCAGAACTGAATGTCTAATGTTTTTATTCCTCATGCAACCTCTTTGGCATATGGAACTTAAGTACATTTCATTGCAGGTCTACATTTGTTCCAGTAAGCTACTTTTGGAAATGAACACCGTCATTTATTCAGCCATAATAGGCCTATTTACCAAAAGTAACCAGATATTTTGGTCAACGTGACTAAACCTGAGACCTTTCCATTTTTAAAATGGCCCGAGTAATCAGAGCAGGCATTTACTCAGTTAAGAAAGAGCTCTGTTGTTCTAAAGCAGGATTGTCAGTGCCTTGAAAATGAAAGCTAATTCTGTTAATTTTTTATATTTAATTTCCAAATCACTATAATTTACTCGATTAATTTTAGCCTTTTCCATATATATGATTGTATATGTTAATTGGATGGATGGATGGATGGATGGATGGATGGATATATGTTAATTATCATTTGATCCATTAGTGGGGATAATGAACTCAAATACAAAACAGAGAGCTGGGGTCTTGAAACATTAGCCAGCTACAGTTATTGCATGTCAATGTGATGCATGATTGGTTTTATGAAATGTTAATGATGTCTAACTAGTGCAGACTTCTGTCCATGACCCTGGCTTGTAGATTAAGAAATGGGTTTGGTTAATATTATAGGCAATAAATCTTACTTTTCCCACTACCATTTATTCCTTCAAATTATATTCCTTGCTTCCAAAGCTGCAGAATGAGTTAAGTCTGGAGACTGTGGCTTTGTTTCCACTCAAGACTATCTGCAGCCATCTGATCAGCAGGGCAGGCAGCGAGACCCCTCACCCCTCTGCTAGAGAAAGACTTTATTTCTGCTGGTTCATTTACCCAAGAGGTCTTTGCTGTCGGGGCAAAAGGAAGATTTCATGTCGTGTGTGTAGAACAAGTTGGTCCCCCATAGTGTGTTTTGAACTCCAGAATCTAAAATAAAACACTTTAACCCCCCCTCCCATCAGCTAGCTACTTCCAGCTATTGTTCATCAGATGTTCCTGCTGCCCTCTTGGTCCAGTAGGAATGTCTCCTTTACTGAAGACGTCTTATGTGAACACATGTAAGACATTTGTTCTAGACAGTTCAGCTCCTTGTAAACTTCACCCCTTCCTTTTGTATTTTGTGAGCTATCATTCTATGGTTTGCATTTAGTGAGCTTGTTTAATCTATATCATGTGTCACCATTCATAATTAAGTTTATGTACCTCCTTTTATTTGTATATGTTACTTTCTATACTTATCTGTACTTGTTTCTGTCCTAGCACTGCTGCAACCGCCTTTCCCTATTGAGGATAAAAAAAAGGTGTATCTAATCCTAGTTGATAGTCTTGTCATTGTTAAGAGGCAATTCCGAAGTCCACAAGGCTGTGACATTGAGGGTCCAGTGTCAGAACAAAGTCCTCCACTTCATAAATTCTCACGTTTTGGATTCAATTATGCAGAAGAGAGCTAGCTTTTTTGTATCCTTTTTCCAGCCACCCTTATAAGAACAATTCTTTTTTTAATTTCCTCAAGTGATTTGACACAAAAGCAAACATTTGAATGCTTGATTTGTGACTCTTTTGTCTCAGAATCTCAGAAAGCAAAATTACTCTAACCCGGGATGTTTTAAATAGTTTCCCATGTATTCATGTGTCATTTCACTCCTTTCCTGCTACAGGAATGGGAGAGTGATGCTCGACATTTCACCACTTGTGCTGTGCATCACCCACAACCCCACCCAAGGTCCAGTCCCCAAATTGTTGGCTGTTGAGTCCTAACGTGGGCGGAAAGGTGAGGGCAGGATGTTCTTATTTACAATGCCGCGGCAGCAGAGTAATTGTTGTAGTGATAAAAGAAAACAGTCTGCGGCACATCCACACACTGCAGGGTACTGCTGGACAAAAGAGGCTTATTTACATTGATATAAAAAGCAGCATATCCTGTTTCTGTAGTTAAAAATACATCCAGCAAATATTTATTTTAAACACCTTGTTTTATCTGATACCACAGATTGTTTAAATGTTACTCCATTTCCTCTTGAGACAAGATTACTGCTGTAACCTTTAACCTCAGCACACAGAGGGTTGATGTTATCAAAGGCTTTACAAACAAATGTCAGTGAAACATTGAGTTTAATTATCTACTTCAACTAACTAACTGTCATTTCGAAACAAGTCTGACAACAGATCAATAAGGTGAAATTGATATTCATGCAATCACAATTGAAACAATGTTGTAATAAATCCCATTGAGGTTCATTTTGGAGTGGAGTTTTCTACTATGAACATATATAATCACTGTGATTTTAATTATTACATATTTGTTATGGTTTTAATATTACATAGTTATCCATCATGTAGGCTACAGGTCTGCCACGTTGTGTTGCAGGATTGCTATAGATAATCATTACTTCTCATGAACTGATCTCCTTCTCACTAGCCTGAAGAAGGGAGTTTGTCCCCCCCAAATGTGTGACGTTGCGTCCTTCCTCTGTGTCTCCATAAAACGTGCCTCACGCATGGACTGCAAGTGGTGCACGGAGGCGAGAGGGAGGAGAACTTGTCTGAGGCGCGAGAGAGGCAGGAGCTGATTGATTTGGTTGTGTGGGCTCTATCAGACAGCGGTAACAAGCAGATAAACCACTCACTCGACTTTTATTTTTCAACAAACATTGAATTACATCAATTTAACTTTTGGGGGAATTCGAGAGCACCTGCACGGAGCATCCAGCGGTTCCTCCGTCTCCTCTCTGCCGGTTCTGGAGTCCCCAGCTGCGCAGGAGAGCTCCCCTGCGAACCGCGTCATGGGATACAGCTGAACCACCGCCGCTTTTCGCGTGTAGCCTATACCTGAAGCTTTTTGTGGATTAACAACACGTTTAAGAAAAAGAAAAACAGACTCGTTTATTTACTCGCTTTAAGAAAAACTTCATTCAGTCACTCGGGATTATAAGCCTTTGCCACGGACTCTTATCACTTTATTTCTAACGCACGGTTGGGGTTTTGGTGGAGAGTTGCAGGATGGGCTCATCCGACTGCTTCAGATGGGCCGTTGTCATCTTGTGTTGTTCATCACTCACACATGGTAAGATGTCATTCATACTTATAGAGATTTGTTATTTATGCTTATATTGTTTTATACAAGAGATAACAGCGCTGTTTGATTCGTTTCAATGAATGGCATAATATTTGACGCGGTCAGTCATTTGGAGGAAAAATAAAGAGGGTGGCTTATTTTTTATTTATCTTAATCATTAATAATTTTAACTGAGCTCTTGAGTTCAATTATCTGTCGGTTTTTTCCATTTTAACATTTGATCAATATGTTTCATTGTTTATGGATATATACGTACAATACTACAATTGTCATGTTAGGAACATTAAATGACCACTGTTAATGCTGTTAATAAACGGAGCTGCAGTCCTCAAACACACCGCTAGAGGTAGTCTCAGCCCATTGTAACAGGAGCATTTCAAATGTTCATAAAAATGTGTTGATGTGACAGGTAATTGGTGGCCTGATTTTTACATTTTTATATTAGACTGGTTTAATTTTGACATTTGATGTGGTTGTTTTGATTTGTTTCTCAGATATTCTGAGTCAGCCTTTTGTTCAATATTATGAAAAACGTTTTTCCAGCAATTGTTATCTGTGAGTGAACAGGATTAAACATTTTGGGAGGAATGTGCCTGTTTCTTCAGACATTATAATCAGCTTCATTGTCTGTATTGTCACTCCACAAAAACAAGGTGGATGTTCCTCCACCTTGTGGCAGGTCGAGTGTGCCACTGAGATAGCCTTCCTCACTATTCCCAAATAAACAGCCCATCCAAACAAAGGAAATACCATTCACCTAACCCCCCCCTACCCCCCATACACTTTTAGCCTATGAATCTTTGTCCGAGATGTTTCCTTCACTGTCCACTCACAAAGCGTGGGAAAGACACAAGGAGGAAGCGGATGTAGGGGCAAAAGGCAGCCTTGAATTGTTCTGGCTCATAAAGGTCACGGAAATGTGACACGCTACCTGAGCAAAGATTTCTTCCCGGTACTCCTTGTGCTCATATTGAGCTATGTAAAAAATGCATCCAGAAGACAATGGCAGGGTGGAAACGAGAGTGTTTTTTGTGCAGAAGATCTACTGACTGGAAGAGCCATTAGTTATTGATGGGGCATCACCTTTTTTATTTTCATGTTGAGCTGTGTATCAGTCAAAGTTGGCAAATAAAGCACAGGGCTGAGCAGAAGCACAGAAATCATGGTTAACCACCAACATTTGATTTAATGTTGCAGCCTGTCACTAGTGGCAGAAAGTCATTATATTACAGATATTGACCATTCTACTAAGAGACATTTTACCAACCCTTATATATTTTAAAACTGTAATTATATGATGTTAGTTGATGTGTTTTATAGAAATCGGTAACACTCTGTTTTAAAGATGGTCTGCCCTATGGTGTTTTGCTAGTATTTCACTTGTTGCTGTTTCTTTTTGAAAAGTGACCACAGGTCAAGTGTTTTGTTTCGTGACCTTTTGACACCCTTTTAAATGAAGCATAACGGCTCAGACTGAGAGAGATACACTTTTTACTGCTCTTCACGACATGATTATTGCCTTTCAGATTTATTTTAGTTTGTCTCTCTGATGGTCAGTCTCTCTTGGCTGTGTGCGTATCATTTGTTGTGTGATCCAAGCATTACTATTGATTCAGTGAACTGTGTCTGTGTCCATGTAGTTTCCGTCAATTATTTATTGTGTTGTAGTGGTGAATTTTTCAGCCACATTTTTTATTTAAACCTGAAAGCGTATTTGTCGATGAGTTTTGAGGATTAGTCAACCCTTTTTCTTTTGTGTTTTGAAGCCGAATTAGGTGATGTTGTGTCTATTTTTTCCCCCGAGTAATTTGTTTCTTTCCTGCTCGGACACTTGAGATGGAGTGTAAAATGGGAGTGACAAGAGGTCAACCAAGTGCGGTGGGAACTCATTGCTCACTGGCGGTATGTCTGGGTTCATGGAGGTAGCGTAAGAAAAACAACCGTACACTCACACTCACCTGGATTTACCAGCAGAGCAGAAAAGGTCATTCCCTTACAGAGGGATATAACTTAACAAATTGCTTTGCGTGGCTGTTCTTATAGGATAATTGCCGCATCTGGTCCATACCAGGCATATCCATCCTGAGCCAGCAATATATTTTCTTTGAATCCTGCATGAGATTTCAATTTCAAGGAGCTTCTGTCTGCCTACAAGTCTTAATCGTGCGTTATGGAACAGGATTTCTCTGGGTTAACCATTTTGGACTCTCATGCAGGCGATTCCTGTTTGTTGGCTCAACTCAACTTTATATAACCTAGAATGGCCACCCAACATGGCCAGATGTTCCTTTATTTTGCTTTTTTAAGAGGAGTCTGGGGCATTAATGCCTCCAAATCTCTAATGGCTAATATACGGCTAATAAAAAAGGCACTCTCCCAAACTGTTGTCTTAACCTTGCAGTAAGCAAAGTGGTGGGGTTTCAGGAAGGCGGTGTGTGAGAGACACTCCAACACACAGCCAGAGCAGTGCTAGCTTCTCCTTATTCTGGCAGGTGATCCTAAGTCCGGTCAAGTTTTTAACTTTGTGTCGTAAAATGTTGTTTGTCTTGAAAATATTATTGTCTCTTATTGTCTTAATCTTACCGTGTATTGGCTCTCTCTGCATTTATTTGTCTGCTTTTATTTACTGTATCTATTTATGTGACTGCAGTGAGAGATGCCAACGAAATTCCGGTATACCGATGTATGAAAATAAGATATTCTGATTCAGACCAGTTTCTTAACAGGTGGTATCTCCATTTAAACCAATACCCTTGAACTATTGAGAGATTATTTGATCATTGGTTTCCAATTCCTATGATCTAAAGGCTAACAGATTGCGTGCTATCCATTTGCTATTTACTATAGGACAGGAAGCTCACCTTGACACAGATTGGCCACTCTTCACTACTATTTTGCTCCTATCGCCATGGACACAATACAACCAACATGACTCACCAAGAGTGACCCTGCACTCTTTTGTTAAATTGTAATTCGTTCTCCACCCTTTCTATGCCTTTTGTTGTCACCGAGTGCAAGGAATACATTGGCAAGGTTAAACCTGGGAATCATCATGCTGTATTGTTACTTTTGCCTTGAACATGCCCAAAAAAGATCTTCTCTTTAGAGACTTGTGCTGTTTAACAACGGCACAGGAAGTACAGATTAAGTGTACTCTGCTACAAAAAAGGGAATTTGCACAGTATGGAGAATAATGTTCCCTTTTTGTATTTGCCTGTCTATTTCAGTGACAGTCCAGTCATCTCGTACAGTAATAGTGGTTTTTATTACCCAACATCAGGCATGTGATTTTGTTGGCATGCAACAACAGCAAGGATTATGACATATTGCCAACAGTTACTCCAGATCATACTGTCCTTTCTTCTTGTATTTATTTATTGCAGTTTTTGTAATGTTTTTATTTCACTGAGTTTTAGTATCCTCAACCTTTAGTTCAATAAAGTTGTCGTAATAGTAACTCTGTGCATTTATTGGATTAAAGTACTAAAATAATTGGATGTTAGTTTTCCAAATATTGTTAGAAGTTAAGAAGTGAAATATAGCTGTAACGGTACGTCCACACGGCAGCGTGCGTTGAAGCTTGCCGGTGGGCGTGTCTGGCGTGCGACCAGCAACCAATCACATTGATATCCCTCCAAGCACGCGGTTTGATTGGCTAGAGCTTGTACTGGCATATGATTTGATTGGCTGGCGCTTCCGTCGACGCTTGAAAAGTTGAACTTTTCTCAACTTTCGAATCGAGCAACGGAGGCAAAGCGTGACGTCACCCCATTCAAAGTGAATGGGAAGCGTCTCCGTTGAAGCACGCGACGCTGCCGTGTGGACAGGCCGTAATAGCTATCAAGTGCCATACAGTAGTTGTGTTCAAAATCAAAACGTCACCATACTAAATCATAATACACCAAAATCAAGCTTTTTTGTAATTATACATTTAAAAAAAGTTGTCCTAACCCTATAAACTTAATGAAAGGTAAACAATGAGGAAAGTCTGGAGAATGATGAACCCCTGGCTTAGATTGAATGAAAACACTTTTTTTCAATGTCTTTTCATTGTTATGATGCTTTCAGACTAAACATTTAAATGGTGTTTTTCAGGGCAACAAACATTTCAGAACATTTTGGAGTCCTGCAATCCAATACTGTTTGAATTGTTTCTATATTTCCTGACTGGTAGTGAACCCACCACAAGTGTTTTCCAAACACTGTGTCCTGTGCCACTTCCTCTCAATGCCAAGTGAGGACAAGGACGTGTAAATGTGATCCTGTTCTAATCTGAGTTAACCTGGCCCCGTCTCAATAATCACTTGAGACTGACCCAGAAGTCTCTCTGCCCCCCTTTCTCTCTCCCTCAATCTGTTTGTTTCATGCCTGTCCTCTTCTTAATGGCTCTTAATGAGAACCAGCTTCGGGGCTCTTTGAACAACACAGTAAGCACAATTTCTGGCATTTTTCAGGCTGGAGGAATGCAGCACACAGCTGTTGGGGGGGGGTTAGGGTTGTCAGGACGCTTGCTGAGGTCAGCATTGGGCAGGCAATGGGGCAGGTTGGAGATTTGAGGGTGTTAATGTAGAGAGACAACCGCAGGATACCTTTTTCAACTCTTTCAATGGGGCCCCTGCTGATTAATCCATCTGTAGTTTGTTACTGAGGAGAATCGGGGAAATATTGGCCATTTTAAGAGATGAGCTACCTGCCAGTGCAATTCAAGGTCAGGACGATGTTTTCAGTTGTTGTTATTGGTGTTGTGTGTTCAAGCAGATGTCAGGATTCCTACATGTGTGGATTTTTTTTACATCACAAGTCAAACAACTGACTTGTTGAACGTGCAGAAATTAGTGTTGCAGACAGCACATGATACATTGTGCTTTTTGTATTACTATTTGTGTTTAACAGGCCCCAGTGGTCAGTTTGATTTACTCTTTGCAAAGTTCTCAATTCCAGCATTTCAATTACATGACTTGCTGCCAATTTGCAGATGTGAGGCAATAACACTGCAGTTAAAATAATTGTCACGGACATTCATGCGTCATTTCTCGATAAAACAATAAAAGATAAGTATCAACTTGTGAATTGCAGATTCTGGGATTGTTTATAAGGTCAGGAACTTTGATTTGTATTAATCTAATACACAGCTGAAAACGCGTGTTATCACAGCATGAAACAGTATGAGCAACACCCCTTCCCCTCTGTATAACTTTGGACAATAAAACAATGATGTTCAAATATTTTAGAGGAAGTCGATATTGAGTGCCACTGCCAACACTGGCACCGCCGGCTCGTTCTTAACACAACAGCTGTTCTGAATAAATGAGAATGACTGTCTGTGTGCATGTGCGCGCATTCTTAATAGCAGGTGTGCTTGTGTATGTGTGTGTGGTTTCCCAGTTTTGTGTGCATATACCATGTTTGATGCCTTACAGTAAGCTGTTGTGCACCTCTATTGTCTTTCTTGATTCTGTGCAACAAATAAAGGTTTCCCAAAAGGCCGGGACATTGGGAGGGTCAACTTAGTAAACTTGTTTTCCGACCACATTGACAAGCTGTTTAGGGAGCTTGGTGAAAAGAAGGAAATCACATATGGAACTGTGACAGCTCCTGGACAGCAGTGAAGTTTCCTATGTTGATCTCTGTTAGAGAGAGCTGGCTCGGGGCCACCTTTAAAATCAAACATTTCAACCTTGGATTTTCCCTTGTGATAATGTGATAATAGCTTTAAAGTGCAAGGTCGTTGATGAATAAAAAAAAGACTTGTTCCTTAGAGAGGAAGGGTGCAACCACTAGAGCAGAGTGAGCGGTTGATTAGAGGAAACGCATGCAGAGTCACACATCAGGATCTGAGCTGCTCCCAATACCCTCCCCTGTCCCCCTCTTTTCCACCTTTTTTCTTTCTTTCTTACTGTCTGCTCATCCCAGACTGCCTTTTATTCATTACCCTGCAATTCCTGCCTTGTAAACATCCCCAGAGCTCTCACAGCGGACCATCACCATTTGCACAAGATTCATGCACATTTCCTATTGTGTTTTTCATTTTGTTTTTGTTTGTGTTTGTGTTCAACAGGACATTTGGAAAGAGAGCACTCACCTATGATTCTGCCCTCTGACAACACCCTCATTCTTCATAAGGATGGTTTGTTACATCTCACATGCAGGTATGCCACACACCGATTTATGTCAATGCCAAGTGAACCAAAACAGCATTTAAATCAATGGTAAATGTAGCTTTTACCTTGTAGTGTAACGTAACTTAGTACATGTACTTAAGAAATATATTGTAGTTTTTACTCCACAACATTCTTTTGAAAGTTATAGTCAAGAGTTATTACTCTAATATTTTAGATGCAAAACATGATAAGCTTACAAATTCTCACTCTTAAAATTACCCGGCATTATGTGAAATATTTGAATCAGCTCTACCTCAACCAGCTATAACATTACAATTCTCAGTACATGTTATTGCATCAGGAAGAAATCTCTTATTACATCATACAGTATTAATACAAAATGAATGGGCGATTTTTCCACATTAGGTAGTATTATGTTTGATCATTTTGATAATATCATACTTTACTTATTTAAAGTGTCTCGATCTAAAGTAAAGTATCTGAGTACTTGTTCCATTACTGAATGCATCCATTGATGAGTATTTCAATTCCTGATTTGAGCTTCAGGGATAGTGGGACCATTTGTTAAGCATTTTTACAGCCTTGCATCATTCTGTAGGCCTGGGAGGAATGTTCAGGAAGTCGTGGCTATCTAATGTAATGCTTCCCTAGAAGGCCATGTGCTAAAACGCCTGGCCCATACGGTACTGTGTTGTTTTTCTGTCACTGGATCAGAGCTTGAGGTTGCTTGACCCAAGATTCTGCAGTCGAACGCAGTGGTATGCAAGAAATGTTTGATGTTCCTCTGGGATCCCTATAATGACTGTTTTAAAATGGATGCTGTGTGGAAAGAATGTGTTAGCTGAGCACATCATTCAAGAAGCATGTTCCCATGTGAAAGTTCAAGTAACTGGATGACTCAGGATTAACTCAAAATAAACTTAAAATGAACTTCAAGTCAAAAAGTCCCAATGGGAGAAGCAGCCACTGCCATCCTAAACCAAAAAGCTGACTTAATTCCCAGCTGTGACACTTTTCATAATATATCTGAATGCAGTGCTTGTTTTTTCAGAGAACAAATCAGCATTAATGTAACGTGTGAAATCCCCAAATAACATATTAGATGGTACATTTATTTTACAAAAAAGTGTGAGAATACCTTTTTTCTTTTCACAAATCATCCTCAGTGTTCAAACTGTAAGCCAACTGAGGACTATTTTGTTCTTATTGTTCATCTAATTCTGTCTCTCTCTGTCTTCTTCAGAGGCCATGGCCCACTGCAGTGGAGACTTGTTGACTCCAATCGATCGCTCTCATCCGAGGAGGTGAAGGTGGAGTCGTGTGATTCCCGACATCACTCTCACTCACACTGCAGCAAACTGACCATCACAAGTTTAATAGCTAATGACACAGGAAGGTACAACTGTGAATACTCCAAAAATGGTTCAGCCCACTTCACCTCGATCTACGTGTATGTCCAAGGTGAGACCTGCAAAACCGCTTTGTCCACTTCATATTAAAGGTCCTTTTTATCAATTACAGTCACAGTCAACCAGTGGGAATAAGAGAGCAGGAACATGTGGAGCTGAGAATTTAAGTCATTTTCCAGCATGAGAATAACAAAGTAATGTTTAGAAATGAAAGAATTGGTATATAAATTAAAACACAGATAAGACACACACTTCTTTCCTTTTTGAATTGAGTTGTTTTCCTTCCATCTAGGACTGACGGTGTTTGTTTTTGTGAAAGTCAAGACTCCTGATAAAAGAGGTTTTCACAGGGTGATTATCATCTGTTGACGCCAGTGGAGTGGTGTGGTGTTGAACTGAACTCCCTAACAGTGGCACATGAGGAAATAGCTAATGAGCAAATCTGATATTTCCTGAAACATACAAGAGCTGGGAGAAAACCCACACTGAATTAGTCACCGAGAACAGAAGAAATAGCGAAAGAATTTAAAGAAAAGCGAAAAAAAATAAAAGAAAGGAAGTCTCAAAGAAGATGCAAGGAAAGAAAAAAGATTGTGTTTGGCAATTGTATGACTGTATAGTGATTTAATGCAGAAAACTGGTTTTAGTCCTCATGCAAAAACCCAAGAGAGAGAGGAAGTGGTTTCTTTTGTACTAGGGTTTCTTCTGAAAGTGGAGGGTTGAGCGTGATTGCACGGGAAGCCCTGGTCATTGACTGTGATTTCCTGCTCTGGCTACTGTTCTCCGAAGTCTCCCCTAAAGCGTCACATGACACCAGTTACAGCTACAGTGCCATTTAAATGAGGATTGTGCTGACATCTTAAGGAGAGCTGTTCTGGAGGGCTTTTTAGACACTAACACTGTTGGTATGAAGGCATTACATATAGTGCAATCATAACATTTGTCTAAGGATGTGAAATATTTGTAGCCAATGCAGGCTGAACTAAATACTGGATGCACTTTGTTACCTCTCTTTGAATGTGGTTCCCAGTTGTTCCCTAGTTGGCCTGCTTTGCCTGTGTTTAGTCTAACCCTTTCTTTTCAAAGGCGTTCAGCTGTTTATTGCATAATTTCCCGGCTTACTTGTTAAATAATAGTTCCTTTATCAAACCACTACTGCTTGACCTCACACCAATCTGTGTGGTCTTGAAGTTCCCATAGCGGGCCTGTGATGGCTGGCTGTACAGCAGGAACACCACTAGACTGATTACCTCTATCTGTGCTCTGCTGCCTTATCCGGTTAGAAAGAGCTGATGCGAGACTTGATTTCTTTGTTGGTTGCCCTGACAATGCCCTGATTTCATTGCAATGCTAAATTCAGCTCTAGCATAACAGGTTTTTTTCAGAGTTCAGAATTTGCTGCAAAACATGATTATACCAAAAGACAAATATAACAGTTCTCACTTTTTTTGGGGCATCTTTTTGTTCCTCAGATCCCGAGCAACCATTTGTGGAGCCTCATCCCTCAACACCTCTTGTCTTGGAAAGCTACAGGCACGAGACCAGCCTCATACTCCCCTGCAGGACCACCTATCCCGATATTGAAGTAACACTCACAGCGGTAAGGCTTCACAAAGACATTCATTTCACAGCTTCTGCACAGGACTGCTGCAGGTTAAGTTGTTTTACTGTGCTGTATGTATTCAAACCCTCTATGTGTTCCTTAGACCTTCTTGGACTTTGTAGTAAATCGCACAGTACATCTTCTGACAAAGAAAGATTGTTATAAATACCACAGCAAGGTATCCTTGCTTCTTATCCTTGGAAAACAAATGTGTTCCCACTCACGCTTAAGGCGTCTCATAGGTTCTCACACCCTGTGTGTGTTAAATCACTCTTGCACACAGAAACAGACAAGGGACAGTGGCTTGTCTGAGAAAAGCTCAAGGGCGGCGAAAGGAGTCTATCGGTCTGCTTCCTGTAAAAGCAGGAAGGTGCTCCAAGAGTGCTTTTCTCAGAATAGACCCTTAGACTAAATTTAGTCCCCCTTCTCTTACAAACATCAGGAAATGCAGTAGAATAACAGTAAACACGGTGTCAAGCACAGGAGACAACAGGTAACTCATCATGAGGATGGCAACCCTTAATACCAGAGAGAATTGAAGGGTGCTTCCTCAGTGATGTTGTTGGCACAATGCTTATCATCTTTCTGTCAAACTTAAAGGAATACTCTTCCCACAAAATGACATTTCTACCTTATGTTGCCTAGTATCATTGAGGAAAACTCTTGCATGTCTCCTAGGTGAATCAACAATCCAAACATGGAAAGCCAATTGAAGTAATTGTTTATCCAAGGCTGACTGATTTTTTATATACAATCATGGGACATAGTGCCTGCCCTACCGTAGACAAACACATCTGACTCAGATGGTACAGATAGTGATGGCACGACCTTCCTGCTTTTGGTAAATCTATGGCACTCGTCCTTCCAGCTCCCTTTCCTTCCTTCCTTCCCTTCCCTTCCCTTGCCTCCTCTCTCAGCCCAATATCTGGCATGAGAACAAACAGCAGCAGGCACGCACATCCTTTATCCGGGTCCACGATGTTTGTGTTCCATTGCATAAGTGATTGCAGAGGTTCCACTCCACAACGCAATAAAACCTAATTAGACCTTCACTCTAACAGACTTCTGTCCCCAGCTGAGTCCAGTAGAGCATGAGCTACATTTTGAATTAAGTGCATTACACTAACAGTCCGTATGGCTCAGTGATTTGTAATGAATATAACAAGTGTCACAAAATAACATATGACAAACCTCCTCTGCTCTACTCTCTGGAAAGCAGCTCCCGCCTTTACCAGAGAAGGTCGTTAATGAACAAATATGGGATCCGAAGGTTGGATTCAAGATTCCCTACGATCCCTACAGAGAGATCAGCATGGTCACCTGTAAAACCAAGGTCAATGGTCGTGACTTTAAGTCAATATACTTCCCTAAAAGAATAAGTGAGTCTGTTGTATTGCTAAATGAAAGAAAATACAGATTTCTCTTTATTTCTGTTTCTTGAGGATTTATTCTTATATTTGCCTCGTTTTTGCAGCTCGTGTTCTTCAAAATGTGAAGATCACCCCAGAGCGTGTCAAAGTCTTGGTTGGAGACACCCTCATTCTCAACTGTACTGGCAAGACCACTCATAATGGAAGAATCAAATTCACGTGGGATTTCCCAAAGAGTAAAGTAAGTTCAGGATTTACCTTTGACACATTCCTATTGTATGTAAAAGGAACCCTCGCAGGTTGTAGCAGTAACGTTTATGATACCTTCTTCATCTTCAGGAAAATAGACATGACACACAATTCACCATGGACATGTCTACCAAGGTGTATGTGATGAGCAAGTCTTTATCCTTGCCAAACATTACCATGGAGGATAAAGGAGTGTACCGCTGCAGGGCTGAGCTCAACCCTACGATTTATATGAACGTCACCGCTAAAGTCATCGTCATTGGTAAGTATGCTTTAAATGGATTTGAAGACTTCCAGAAAAGTTTCACAATTTACACATTCAATGATTGTCACTGTGTTGATTCTAAAACAATACCCAAATATTTCTGCTTTTGGATCGCTTCCAATGTCTTTCCTTAATGTTTTGTTCCAGAGCATCCATACCTCAATATCTCCTATAGACATGAGCGGCACAGTACGATAAGGGTCAAAGATGGCAGGAAGAGGCTTGTGTTTGATCCCAAGGTCCAAGCTCTGCCACCGCCAGACATGGTAGCATGGTAAGTAATGGTTTGCAGTCAGAATAAAAACTGCTGCTTGTGTATTGAATCCATGTGTTGATTTAGTATGCGGTGGCCCACCCTGAATGATAGCGTCACAAGGTTTCCATGGTCATGAAAAACCAGGATAAGTCATAGATTTTCAAATCTTTAAAAATGACTTGTAAAATAATTAAATCTTTGAAATCCGTGATGGTTGTAATGACATTAATTGGGACGGTTATGTTCTGTAGATAACCTTCAACATTTCGTAACATAACTTTAATTGTATTTCTATCGTTTTATATAATGAGGTGTATATAATCATTAAGAATACAATAATTGTACATTGCTTTGATTTCCCCTCATGCTTGAAAGTCAGTGCCTGACTCAGATAAAAAAACGTATAGTACTATTAAAGATTAAACACGATTGCTGTTTAATAACCATACACTAATTAACATTCAAATGAAAGTTAAGGTTCTGAATGGTGATGGTGTTTTTATTATGGGTCATGGAGAAGGCTCATGACTCCCTTTCCATTCCCTTTTTTTCAGTGATGATTATTCTTCCATGGTTGAATTAAAACTTTCCATGCATTCAATTCTTAGGTTTAAGGATGGGGTCCCTATCAACAGGAGTTCCACCTGTTACAAGATGTCTGGTTTCACCTTGATCATCGTTAATGTGCAGCAGCAGAATGCCGGGGTCTTCACCGTCACTCTGGGCAACCAAGCGAGGGGCTTGTCCAGGAATCTGAGCTTCACACTGATAGTGGAGGGTAAGCTGTTGCTATAAACTTGATAATGACGGCTGATCCTAAAGGAAATGAAGCAGTGCCTCTCTGCGCCGGCTGCTTTCAGTGCAGTTCACTGGACGGCAGGTAGCAGCTCTAGTATGAGAGGAATTTGGGGGCTTGTTGATTCCAGAGCTGGATTGACGTAGCAGGGGCAGCTGTTGTTGATTATTGGGGCTCTTTTGAAGGGGCTTGGCGCAGTGTGTAAATGGCCCGGGCTCTACTCTGCACTCAAACTCCAGCCGCTCCAGACCCCCCTTAGTCCCCAGCATTTATTTGCATCCTCACCATGTGTATATACAGTGCAGCTCATATCAACACGATGTTCCATGCTGTATGTGTACAGCTTGAGGAAAACAAAGACTGAGCATGTCATTCTGTGTTTTGATGATTTTGTAAAGACTAATGATAACTGTTAACACTGGAGGTTATAAATGTTTTAACATGTTAGGTGGAGGTCTGCTTGATAGAGAGTGTGTACATTTCTTCAAGCTTACCATGGGGGGGCGGAGCTATTTTTATTGCATTCTTTAAACATTTTTTAGGAATCCCGATAGCGTGCCAACAAGTGTAAAAATCAGCCCCCTCTGGCTTGTTTAACTTTATTTATGGCCCTTGACTGTCCCGCTCAACAAGACTTTAATTTATTGGAACAACAAAAAATGAAACGCACAGAAACAAACAAAGTGAAGAGAGAGTCATGGTATCTATTATGGAAATACTTAGAACTTGTTCATTGTGTGTGTGTGTGTGTGTGTGTGTGTGTGTGTGTGTGTGTGTGTGTGTGTGTGTGTGTGTGTGTGTGTGTGTGTGTGTGTGTGTGTGTATGTGTGTGTGTGTGTGTGTGTGTGTGTGTGCGTGCGTGTGTGTGTTTTTAGTTTTGTAAGTTGTCAAAGTGTGTAGTCAGCAGTGATGGAGGAAGTATTCACATCCATCACTTAACTAAAAGTGTTTACATCACACAGTATGTAAGTGTAATCAGGAAAATGTATTGAAGTAATACGTTCTCAATGGAAAAAAATACCTAACCCTAAGTAAATAAAGCTGTAAGATACATTTTAAGGAGTAACAGTACAAAGGTTCCCTATGAAATGTGTTGGAATAGTACCCCAAAATTGTCCTAAAGTAAAATACTGGATTAAATGTATTTAGTAACATTCGTCCACTGGTAGTCTGAGTATCCTCCTGAGGTGGCACAAGGATCTTTGTCTGTTTGTTGAAGGTGCGTTCACTGACCTGGGCATGGGCCACAGGGAGGTCGTTCTTTGACCTTCAGCCCTGGGCTATCCAATCATCCTGCCATTCTTCTCCTACACAGCATCTAAAGGACAACTGGTGTCAATGGCAACTTTTTCATGGCTATCCATCATGACTGTCGGCCCCCATTATAAAGACATTATGAGATTCCACAGTGGCATGGGATAGAAGGGTTGATCTAACTTGTTGTTACCTTAACTTTCTCTCTCTATCTCATGAATTGTTGTGTGTCTGTGTACTTATTTGTGTTTATGTGTACTCCTCTCTTACAGTGAAGCCAATTATTTCCGAGGCCGAGCTTGCCACTGTGGACGTGCAGCCGTACATGATCGGCAGACAGCACCAGTTAACCTGCACTGCTTACGGGGTGCCGCTGCCAAACATCACATGGTTTTGGCAACCGTGTCAACTAAACACCACGCTTATAAAGTGAGTCACCTTCTCGCTTTGTTCCAAGCTTTGAAGTGTTTAAACTAGATTTTCTGTTAACTTCCTCCAATCTTGAAAAATGTATAGCATATCAAAAGGGAAGTCTTCCTGTTTTGAAGCGCACATTTCATCAGTTATGAATGCCAAACATAATCTGATTCAAAATCAATTGCATGCTTCCTTCTAATTTAAAGCAGTCCTAACAGAATATATATGCATTTAAATAAAAAGGATAAATTGGCATGCAGAGGAATCGGATGTGTTTGACGTTTATGTACAGGTCACAGTGTCTCTGGATGTGAGACTTTGAAAGCATTGTGACTTTAAAGTGGCAGTGCAGTAAGGAATGTATCTTTGTCAACAAATCTCTTATACCGTTTGTAGGTTCTTTATCTGTTATTTGTCAATCTAGTATATATAGTATAAATACGGAGTCATGTTAAGCACAGCATTTGCACAAATTGCAAAGCTGTGTTGGAGGAAATAAACGTAGGTACATTTACGCTACTGGAGTTGTATTCACAAACGCACAGGCTAACAGCATAACAGACTTAACAGAAAGTTATCGAAGCGTCCAGAGCCACCGGCCCAGCCCGGGGAACCCACTCTGAACAGATCTGCATTGACTGGATTGTTTCTGGCCCGGAAAATGACACATTAATCAAAGAAACGCAGCCCTCGAGAGCTGCCCTCTGGTTTGTGGTCAGTGGTTCTGTAGGTTGAAGGGGAAACTCGGGGGAGATGAATGAATCTCAGGTCCCAGAGCTGTTTCACAGCTCAACAGAACTGAGTGTATGAGTGACTGCACGAATACCGGCCTGGTAGTGAACCCACAAACAAGAAGAACATTCCCTGAGATCCGGGCTCGTTGATGACACAGGAGACCTGCGAGGCGTAAGATCAAGAAAACAATGGGCCATTACCCTTGGGTTATCAGGCCTCAACACCATTAACAAAAACAACACTTTGAACCGCTGCACAAGAAAAATACGAAGTCACGTTACACACCCGATGGTGTTAAGCCACCAGTGCCTCCATTATTTTATCTATCAAATTATCCCCAAACCCACTTGAATTTGCCAGATTACTGATTAACTAGAATGTCACTCGAGAGCACAGACCACTGCCAAGTTCAATAGTGCATTCATTTGCTACAAATAACATTTTATGTTTTTCATTTCTCAGAACGTTCAAAACAATCCTTTGATAGCTGTTTCCAAATGGTTATTCCAACTTGAGGGGACTCTATGTGAATTATCCCAGCGAACCCCTTTTACTGATTACTCCGACATCGCATGAATGCAGCACAAATGCCCTGTCTCTCAAAGTGAAACATAATTCCTCTATCCACCCTGTAATTCATATCTGCTCCAAAATGTAATAGGTTCTTCCTTAGCCCATACTACACCCTTCCACCAATTTATTGAAAATCTGGCCAGTCGTTTTTCCGTAATCCTGCCAACACACAGACAAACCAAACCGCAAACATAACCTCGTTGGTGAAGATAACAATAGCAGAGCGTTAGTTGGGTCAAAGCTACTCTTTCTGCAGGCCTAAAGATAATCAGGACTGGCACTAGGAACAGTGGCAGGCAGCTAATGAGACAAAGGAACAGCTATCGCCTGGTGGGAGGCCAATTGTGCAAAATGTTTGTTTTATACAGCCCTGACCCTGTAAAGTACCTGTCACTGTAAATCCAGCGTGTAGCCCTTCAAGATCATATCTCATCTAAATCTTTGGGAGTTTGGAGAAGAGGGAAAACTCGTAGTGTGGGCAGGGTTAAGAGATGAAGGAAGCTTCCTATTTTGGATTTGGAATGGGGCTGATAGTGTAGAGTAGAAACATGGGGGTGTCTTTATCACCAGGTTGAGGAGCTGTGCCTTGTTGACCGCCAAGGTCTTAGGATCAACCTTATCTCCTCTGGCCAGAATGTGTGGGGGGGGGGTTTCCTGTACGAGTTGACGCATAGAACAGCCCTTCCTGTCGCTGTTGCTGTTTCCTCCTCTGCTTCTCCTCTCATCAGGATGATTGTTCCCCACCACGGGCGGTGAGGGGTTTGGGGGTGGGGGTCAAATCAATGCTTTCTGTTGGTTTTATAACCCAGACATGCTGGTCTAGACCTGGACTCTTCTCATATGTGTCTCAGTGGTGTTTTAAAACACATCAGCCTTTCAGAGTGGCTGCTTTTTCAAAAGGACAGCAAGTTGTATGTTTATTGGTTGATCCAAACAGCATTACACTAAGGTTCCCAATTCAGAAAATCTGTTGTTTTTATTCTGTTGTATTGCTAAGGTCCAACACATGTGCATCTGTCTCTACACATACTGACAGCGTGACTACATGATCTCATTAAATACTTTATGTTCCTCAGATCCCCGGTCCACATTGATGACAGGGGGAATTACTCCCACAACTGGATTAAGAGCATAAACGTCAAGCGTGAACTGGTAAAAGGAAAAATCAAGGTATGTGGTTTAACTTTATCTGTAGTGTTTCCACTTCTTTTGAACAACTGTTGCACTTGTAGCATACTTTGTTTACTGTTAAATGTTGTTGATCAATTGTAATGACCAACTTCACAGTACGATTTGTGGATCATAAATATGCCTTACATTTTGAGAATATTTAATAGTTCATTTTCCCGCTATTGGCAGTAATTCTTTGCATCTCTTGCCTGCTTTCTTTTGCCCACATTAGTTTGAACTTTGACCAAACCTCATTAAAAAGCCCTTAGCACTCTCTTACGAAGAAATCCAACTTGTTTTTCAGTGCTGTTCTCAATAAAGCTGGAATTATTATTAGAATAAGCAACCAGGAAAATAAAGGGTTCACACTTGATGTGCTGCATCAGGAGAGGAAGATGCCATAATGATAAATACTCATCAGATTGCATCTAACAACTTGGTTAACTGCACTAGTATTTACAAAGGCCTTCCTATAACGAGCCAGATCTCTACCAGACTGGTCCTGTCATTTGAAATGTTGCACCCATAACTAAGAGACACAGTTCATTTCCCTCTACTGGAGGGAAACACATCCTCGTTTTCAGTTTCTTTAGATGAATAAGGCCTGTAAATGAAGCAGCTGCAGATTCAACCTGGGTCCTGCCAAAGAAACATCTTTTATTCTGACATCAGTTAATCTTTTGGCTGTCGAGACTCATGAAGCTAAGCCTTATAAACAGTAGAAAAGCTATATGGCTTAAGCCATGCGTGTGCCAAGAGCTGAGTACAGACTTTTATAGATTCTACCCTACACCATTACCTACGAACATGACACTGTGCTTTTGTTAGTGAGCATATACTACTGTTATTTTACACCATGTAATTTGAGAGGCAACATTTGGAAACAATACATTTAAGCAGATAGAATAGTTTTTCACACATTAATTTAAGCATATCTGATTGTTTTACACTGCAAAATATTGTTTTCCGCGACATCAACACTTAAGTATCAATAAGGGATCTATTAGTAAGCCAGCTTTCCTTCGAAAACATCTTACACATGTTGCCATGCAAACCAAAACATGCCGCTCAATGTGGAAACTATATACGTTGCTGCAAATGTCCTGTGGGAGCCTGTTACTAAAACTGTTCACCACGAACATAATTAAGAGCAGGCCTACGCTGCCTTTGCGAGGGTTTGTCTATAGGATTAGGTCAAAGACACCCATTACAGCAAGCTGGGTCAAATTAGGGCACAGGTTCAACGGCATAAAGGTTTTCAGATGGAGAAAAGATAAGTGATAATTTTCAATTCTTAAATACTAGAGCATTTTGGAAAGTATTCAGAAACATGAGCACATAAATGATGTCCTGTCGATAAAGGTGTATACAGTATTAATCTTTCTAAATCTAAATCTTTGTATTGTATATTTTTTTCCAGTGCATGAGGAGACGTTTTTTTGTCAAACACCATCAGATATTCACTTGTGTTTCTGATTCTTAACTAGGTCATGTGTTACTCTCTGCTCTCTGAATAAGCTCTGAATGAAATTCACAATCATGTCAATTATTCGCTTATCAAGTAATCGGAAATCTGGCCATTTTCACAGGACATCATTTCAAATTTGTCTTTGACATAAATAGGGAGGCACCGTTTATTTACAAGTACTTGTGGCCAAACGCTGCTTCTTTATGAGGGTTAGCACTATGGGTCAATGATAACAAGCAGCAGTTTAAAAGAAGAGGGATTTGTTGGAAGTGAATTCCTCTCTGTCACCCCACATAAATCGTGTTGGCCCGTGAATAAGAACGTATTCAGGGCCGGGCCTCTGAGCGCCTCCCCAGAAGACCGAGTATAGAGGGAGACTGGCCCGGGTCACAGTATAAGGAAAACACTGGGGGAACGTGGGCACAGAGGTCACGGTGCGTATGGTCAGGTGACCTCTAGGGACTGCGCACAATTGTTTAAATGACTGTTTTTGAGCTTGGGTTACATCATGGTGAGTAATAGCCGTAACATAATACCATAAGACCACTCCATCATTGTTTTGACAAGTGTCAGAGCCGCATGAAATGGACAATATGGTATAACCTTTTATTTTTTTTACTGCCTGGATGTTTGTATGGTGAGAATTTAAGCTGAAATTGTTTCATGGCTGCAGCTGTGAGTCTTGAGAGTCAGCACAATAGCTCCTGCAAGCCCAGGAAGTGTAGGCCAGTGAACACCCAGACAATACACCCACATCATTCACTGTCTTTGATGTAGCCGACTCGCCCCGAAAAAACAGATGTCACTGTGAACACTAAACAGAGCCCCACACAGTCTGGCCCTCAACCAAGTTTCACTTATTAATTTGTCTATTTAAGACATTAAAATATTGTAGTAGTGCAATGACAGAATTGAGTGTGGCATTAGAAGTGCTTTCCAGGAAATGAACATAAAGCCCAGGCACTAGATCTATAACCCAGGTCTGAAGGAGACTCAGTGGGGTTTGAACTCCAGATGTATCCTTTCATTAATGTGAAGCACTGGAGAGTATAAAGCAGGCTCCGGACCTATCACCCGCCTGCTCACAGCCACTCACTTCTCTGATGGGGATTGAGATCTGTAACGATATGTTTCACTATTAGAGAAATACTTCACCCCCAAAAAGTATCATTTTATATTTATATGATTTAGCCCATGTTACTTTGAATTTGTGAAGGCTTCACGCGAACGAAGAACATGGACTTTTCCTTACGGGGGAAGAGTTTAACAACAGCAGAACTATATCAAAACATCCATTAACACTTTTCAATATGTCCCGTTGTTAACAGATGCCCAATCTTTCATTATGCATTTGCATGTCCGTATGCATTTTACATTTTTTATTCATGCTATCAACTGGTTTTAAACAATGAATTACTCGGTGAAAGAATAATCCCGTCAAAAACATAAAATGCCCATTTTCCCATCGTCCATTAACATTGAAAATCAAGTGGAAAAATGTGGCTTGTATTTCTGGTTTGGTTTGATCACCATTCTTCTTTTTAAGGGGTTCATTGTCTTTTTGCAATTTAGTATTAGTATCTTTACATCTTTAAGGTCAGAATACTCATTCTGCCACTCCCCACCACTGTAAGTGATTCATATTCACACATGTTGTCGTTTATCTCAACATGTATTATCTGCTTCAGTCAGCAGAACATCAGTAACATTTCCCCTTCCTATCATTAATTAGATTGTGAGTACCCTGGTGATCGGAAACGCCAGCATGTCAGGAAAATACTCCTGCGTGGCCAGGAATGAAGAGGGCCATAGCTCAGTGACGATCCCTTTCTACGTTGATGGTAAGTGGGTCACTAGAATCTGAAACAATAACAATAACATCTTAACTGCTCAGCTCAAGGTGCACAGAGAGATTGTTTTTCCTATCTGCACTATACTGGGAACTGGATTCCTTCAATTGATCTACACATGAAGAATGCGCTGTAATGAATTTGCAAGATCATGGAAGGAATGTGAAGATTGTATTGTGCAATAAAGAAACCGGAGGGGGGCATTAATTGAAACCATCTTCCACTGTAGCTGAGCGGCTTCAGGGCGGAAGAGAGGCGAACATGTCCTGAGCCATATGGACGCTATAATGGCACGCGTTTAAAAACAGCTATGAATAACTGCATTCCTACTCCGGAGCCAGCAGGTCATTCCTCTCTCTCTCTGTGAGCCTTCTGCTTTGAGAATTCACTTTTGTCTGTGCATTTGAGGATTTCCAAATGTTCCCCAAATGAATATCCATTGAAACAGATATGTAATATGAGTGGAGATAATGTTCACAAGCACAGTTCACTTTGCAACAATGTGAGTCCCCTAAAAGCTAAGTGAATCATATCTCTTGGAGAGTGAAGGATTGCTTTTGGAAAGGGGTAGACGTAGGTAACCCCTAATGGAGGGTGCCAGAAGGGAGCCTCTCAGAGTGGGAGAGTTTCTAAGAGGAATCCGGCTCTCTTCCAGAGGTGAGGAAGAAAGAGAAAGATGGAATGCTGCTTTAAAAAAAGGACAACACAATTGTAATAACAGCTGTCTTCTCTTACTGAACACACAATGCTTTCCAGCAATCTGAATAAACAAGCACAGTCTGGTTCCCCTGAGGCCCAGACTCAGCTTCTCTCCAATCGGACGAATGCAGCAGCGCCATCAGCAATGCTGTCCAACGGCAACGTGCTTCCAATTAGCAATGATGAAACAGGAAATAACTGAAAACTTGACATTCCTGGCATTGCAAGAGCAGCTTTGTGTCCAGAACTAATGTCCAACAGAGGATCCCGGGCCAGCAGGAGTCGTGTCTCTGTCCATCTTTGTAGAATAAATCATAATATCCACATAAATCAGATCATGTTGTGCCTTATTTCTGTCAAACTAGATAACCCTGAGGAAATTGCCATTGAACCTCGGGCAGTCGTCGAGGGGGACGACGTCAATCTGACCTGTCGGGCAACACGTTACCTCTACACAGACCTGCAGTGGTTGGATTCCAGAAATGAAACGATCACTACCAACGTGTCCAGTATTCAGATCGGCAACTACTCCATCTCTCTTTCTCTCCGTCTGCACAATGTGTCCCAAATCAGCACTGCAGGCTACAGGTGCCAAGCATACAAGCTCTACAAGGGGGTTCAACTCAGGGACGCTGCACTGACTGTGGATGGTGAGTTTAAAAAGATGTTTATGAGAAGCTGATTACTAAATAGTCAGCTGATGAACGTAGAAACTATTCGTCATGCTGTAGAAATGTCATCATGTGATAATTGGTCCTGTTACTCTAAGTTTCCATAAACAGGAACGCAGAAATCTATTTGCAACACACAGTAGGAGTAATTCTTATTATTTTTGTTTCGTTATGTTTAGTGAGAAAGCGCCCCTGGCTGAGTCAAAATCTGACTAATCAGGATGTGAACAGTAGCAGCACCCTGATGCTGCCGTGCCTTGCGATGGGAGTTCCTCGTCCGTACATCTTGTGGTACAAAAATGACCTTCTCGTGGAAAAAGGCCCAGGTAACATGAGGAAACTATTCTATGTGTCATTCCCTTTGAATGTTGCTTCACATGTTTATAATTATAGTTTCCCAATGTGTCAAAGTCTAGGACGGTGTTTCTTAATAAAATCTTCTTTAGTAGGCATATTATGCTCAAGGAACAAATACAGAAAATGCATTGTTCACAGTGAAGAGGATGCCCCTTCTTTATTGATTTTCCTGTCTATGCATAGTGAAGACATTTGTGCACTTAGGCTTGCCTCTACTCTGAGAAATAAGCATGCTAAATCCTTTCATATAATATCATAACCTGAGCTCTCACAGAAATGATTAGTTTTGGCTAAAACATGCTGAATAAAATATCTAAAACAACCTTGGTGTTTGTTTTCAGTCACAATTTTTACAAGCTCAAGTGGCTGAAGATATAACATTTAATTTGCTTTTGCACCTGCAAACTAAAGTGTTAAATACCACACCAATTAAAGAGTTTTTCTGTTGCAGGAATCACTCTGGGAGACGATGGGACTCTGACCATCGAGAGGGTGAAGAAAGATGACGAGGGTCGCTACGAGTGTGTGGCCATCAATGACGAGGGGTCTGCCAAAACAAGTGCTGTTGTTACTGTGTTCGGTAAGTCATTCAGACAGCTTGAGTTAATAAATACCTAACCATTAACAAAAACAACACTCACCAACAACTTCTGCATTAACAATAATGGTCTCCCTGTTTGAAGTGGTGTGCTGCAGTCAGTCTTTCTAGAGATAACATACACTCATCATCTATCTAAAAAGTGGAGTCGTTGCATATTATGCAATCAAGTTGTCTCAGAGTTCCTCCTGGTCTGATGATTTCTTCTCAGAACAACAAATATCTCCGGTCTGACTTCAGTGTGAAGAGTTTCCCCTGACAGAAAACGTGTGGCTGCCAGGAATGCCAAGTGAATTCCTTCTAGGGTTTTATGATCTAGGCTCTGGCTGAGGGTCCTTACCTTGAGGACATGACCTCTATGAAGTGTTAAGAGGTCCACTAATGAGTGCAAAGAGATTGACTGCTACAACCGCCAAGGGACTGGAAACACACAGTCCATAATTGGAGTAGTATAATGTGTGAGCGTGCCTGTGTAGCTTTAGATGTAAGATGAATTGCATCTTGGCTTGGGAAGATGGAGGTGTCAGTATAGGTGAGATATCATGCATGTAGTTTATTCCACGTCAAGCCACTTTAATTAGATGCATTTATGCTGACACTTGAATTTCTCTAGATCTATAACAATTGTTTTATTCCACCCTCCTAACAAGTTGTTTCAGCAACAAGCGGCATTCATGTTCAGCTTTGGCTGTTGAGTCTAATATTGCATGACATAAGAGCTGGAAAACTTTGTGCAGATTCAAAGGATATGAGGTTTCAGCGTTGAGACATGGATAGTTGAAAAACAGGGTTTTATAGAAAAAAGTGAGGTATGCATGTCCTAAACATCCCAGTAATAAACACCAAGTGTTTTTCCACTTCATTGTTGTATACAATCTCTCAGTGAAGAATTACGAAGAAACAAATAAACAGAAGAATGACGTAAAATACAAGTTGTAGCGTCTCCAGTCAAATAACAGATTCCAAACTTTGTTACAGACTGTTCTTTTACACTCCTCTCCAAATCCCTGTCAATAATATATGATAGTGTATGAGATCATGAAAAGCACACAGTGTTTTGTTGCCAAGACGACTGGCAGTTGGTGACAGTTCTTCTCATTCCAGGAGATGAAGGGAAGCCAAACGTTGAGGTAATCATTCTGGTGTGTACGGGAGCTGCCGCTACGTTCCTCTGGCTCATGCTCATCCTCTTCATCCGCAAGCTGAGGAAGGTAAGATGTGACATTACTTCTTTATGTTAGAAACCGTGAGATTAGTATTGGACAAGATGTGAAAAATGCAAGTTAAGTCAATCTTTGTTTATATAAAACAATATCACACATTTACCTCAGTGTGCTAAACAGGCTGCACATCATACAACACCATCGGTCCTTAGATCCTTGCAGCACACAAGAGAAAACTCTGCCAGAAATAAACTGGGGAATAAAAGTGTTCCACATTTTCTGAGTAATCTGGCTATGAATCATTTTTCTTTTTTCGTGCTTCTTGTGAAATGCAGTTTAAAGGAAGCCAGTGTTTAGGATTTCATGTCATTTTGAAAGTGTTTTGCTAATAAAAATAGGAAGGAAACATAGCTCACACTGCCTTTGACCTCGTCAAGTATGTGTGTACTGTAGAGCAAACACTTTGAAAGTCACGTCAACATATTTCATTGCCTACAGATGATTTAATATTAAGTTCAAAAATCTTGAAATTCTTGTGTGTCCTCTAACACCATCAGCAACCACAGTATAAGATGGGCCCGTCCATCATCATCGACCCTGACGAGTGTCCCCTGGAGGAGCAGAACGATCTTCTTCAGTACGACAGCAGCAAATGGGAGTTTCCCCGCGACCGACTGCGACTAGGTGAGAATCCAATGTGCGGGAAAATGTTTCGTATTCGAAAAGTGCCATAAATGAAAGGCCATGTCAAGGCACAGTTGTTGTTTTTTACTTCCGTTTTATTTTAAATTAACGTTTACAGAAGTTGAAATCCAAAGTTTTACTCACGCAGTTGTTGAAGTAATGTTTAAACAATAACAGAATAGAACAGAGTTACAATATTAGTGTTTGTAAATTATTGCTAGCTGGATAAATACAGAACTATATGCAACCCAGCAGGTCATTTCCTGAAGGATTTGTTATTTGTGGTGATAGATGGAATGATTTAGATATCTAAAAAAAAAGTTATTCTACTGTAACTTTATTTTACATCACTGTGTCTATGTCTGCTTTGAGCATATTTGATTGGCATATAAACACACCTGGTACCACCCAGAGCAATGTGCCTATATATCAGTACTTTCAGACACTGACTACAAGAAGATACACTTTATTACACAATTATACAACATGATTTCTGTAAGAAAAGGTTCAAAGTTCATTTGAAAAGTGGTTCATGGTGAGAATCTACACAACCGCATTAAGGTACATGCAATAGGTGTGACCTCTCTGCAGCTGTTGTGTAGGGTCATAACTTATCAGTGACCTGCGCTGTCATCCAGTCTTAAGTGAGCCATAAATTCTGGAGAGAGACTGCCTGTTGTTTTAATTAAAGCCTCACAGCCTGACTGACGGGGGAATTAGTAAGATTTTTCTGCCCGAGGAACAGGAAACTCTAATGTCGTCCCACTTAGCAAATACCTTCTTCCTTTGCCAGGCAAAACTCTTGGCCACGGAGCATTTGGAAAAGTTGTGGAAGCTTCTGCCTTTGGGATCGACAAGCTCTCCACCTGCAAGACTGTGGCTGTCAAAATGTTGAAAGGTAGGTGTCATGATTTCTGTTTGAGATTTTTGAGTTGAACAAAGTGCTGTACATCAACAACTGTATAAAAACATAGCATAAATACATAAAGAACAGACAGGACATGAAACAAATGTAAAACAGGAGACAATGAAACCGGATCAGAAGCCACAGGCTGAATAACTCTCCTACATGACGTAAAAACAATACAAAACACTAGTAAGACAAAAACCCACATTGAACAGCACAAGTGTCGTACCTGGTAAATGCAAGGGAAAAGAAATGGGTTTTAAATGATTAGGCCTTCGTGTTGTTGTTTTTCACATGGATGTTTGACCATGTGGAACGTCTTGTTCTTGTTCCTAGAGATACCCCCGCTCATGAGGCCTGCATTAATGCCACAGCATCTCGTGTTGTATGGGCAGCAGATGAATATAAGCTCGATCGTTCCTGCAGAAGATTTATTTTCTTGTGCACGTTGCAGACTCATGATCTGCAGCACCACATGTGCCTGCAGCTAATGTTTGTACGGCGTATCGGTTCAAAGCAAAGCATGCAATGTCTGCTCCTTGTAAAGTGCAGTTGGAGCTAAAGGCTAAGACCTCTAACCCTCGCCTTGATGAAGAGATTGAGTGTATGCAGATCTGACTGCTCAGATCAGAATGTCCAAAATCTGCAGATGAGTTCAAAAGTTGAACATACAATACAAGTACAAATACGAGCAATAAAAAGCACGTTTGTTTTTTGGCACGTTTTAGAGATTCCAACATTTGGAAACTATCCGCTGTCCCTGTTTTTAAGAGGCATTACTTACGATCCCATTCCAACAGTCTTTCCAAGTATGCTTGATTGTTGGATCAAACATGAAAACCACCAAGCTGAAGAGAGTTTTGACTACAGCCGCTAAGCATTTCATTCAGCCCAGCTTTATACACTGAATGAAGTCAAATGACAGGGAAGATCCAGCTTTGTTTTTGCATTACTAGCCATGAAGCTGTCAGTGATTGGTTATATTGGGGTTATGTGTCATGAAGAATAAGACTGATGTGTGAGATATCTTGGTCACTGGCATTAATCATGTGTCAGCATAAATCACAGACTCTCCGAGAGGAACAGACTGGCTGCTGCTAACCGTCGGTCAAACTTAATGGAAAGCAGCAGGTCTCCTCACTTCAGCTTCTATCTCATAAATATCTGGTTGGTCAAAGTAACATAAAACAGAACAACCCTTAATTCTTGATTTTCATTATTCAAGGTTATGGCTTTAGATCACTGTTTTCACTTATCATATTACAATCTGTTTTGTAATGTGAGCACCTCTTGTTTTATTTTTCTATTTTGTTTGGAATTTATCTTTGAGCATATCTTCTATCAAAAGCTGCTTCATATCACTGGGCCTAAAGTAATATTATTATATTTCCTTAATATTTAATGAACTCTCAAAATTAAATTCCCCAGTAATCCAGCTACCAGGGTTCATGTTTTTTGTTCCACTTTCTCACTATACTTGAAAACTTCTGAGACAGAATGTATTCTTTAACTGCAAGGCGGGACAGAAATATTGGCATTTTGGATTTTCAGATTTGATATGTACACATGTTGATCTAAACAGGTCATATATCAACATGGTCAAAAACAAGATATGTTCCCATTAATGGACTGGGAAAACAAAAAATACGCAAAAATGAAATTAGATCTCTAAGTTTAAGGTTCAAGGTTCTTTATTTGTCAAACGAACATAGCTACAGTGTAGTTATGTCAATGAAGATCTTGTGTCACAGGCTTCTCCAACAGTGCAACACAAAACACAGATAAACAGAAAAATATAGTGCAAGTAAATAGTAATTAGTAAATACAAGAAGAAAATATTCAAATTCATTAACTTGGTGTTTCACTGTTTTCAATGTCCTTTTTAAAATTACATTTTCACTGAAGTTGCAGTTTTTTTTTAAATATGTTTCTTACTCATTTTTGGGTTTTGATTCCAGGTGTTCGTATAGTTGACCATAACAATTTTGAAGTCATCTTAAAAAAATTCGAAGACAATTAAACAAAATGTAATTCCAATTTGCACTCAAAATGTTTTTATTTGTATTCAGGATGTTAAATAATGAACCATCTAAATGTGTTTTACTGTATTACAGGAGGTGCTACGTCAAATGAGCGGAAAGCTCTGATGTCAGAGTTAAAGATCCTGATCCACATCGGCCATCACCTGAACGTGGTCAACCTGCTGGGAGCCTGCACCAAGCCCGGAGGTGAGCTTCTTCCTGGGGAACTATAACTGTTTTGATATTTGGGTTTAAATGTATATACACTAAATATATGGAAGAAAGGGTTGTTGAATAATCGGTTTAACCTTTGAGTTTAAATCTCATCTCTGAACTATCACATGATGTTGGAATAATGACATGTACGATCTGAAACAGGCCCGCTGATGATGATAGTGGAGTTCTGCAAATATGGCAACTTGTCCAACTATTTGAGAGGCAAGAGAGAGGACTTCCTCGTCTACAAGGTGAGCTGCGTGATTTACACTTCCTGTCTCTCTTGCTTTCTCCACATTCTGTCTACACGCATGAAATCAGTGTGAGCTGTTAGGGACCTTTTTGCCAACTATATTAGGTCATTTATTTGTACCCGTAGGTAGATTTGGGTTTGTAAAAAGACAAGGGATCCATTATGACGCACATTTTGAACAACACAAACAACTGGCAACAGGCAAATCTTTAAACAAATTATAATGAAATAAGCCCATGCTCAATCACATTTAAAAACATGTGAAAAAGCACTAGTACAAACATGAACAATCCAGCAAGTCAATAAATAAATAATATAACTATAAACTGTAGGAATGCCCCATGCATGTCAGTAGAAGCCCTTCCCTCATCTTTTGCCGATCCCCCATCAAATTATAATACATATTTGTAGTAGTAACTTACATGTTTCATATTTGTCGTATAATATTATTTATGTTCTTGACCTTCTTGTACTTTCAATACATTTTAGTTTTCTCCTTATATGTTTAATGAATGCGATACAAGGCAAATTCCTTGTTAGTGAACCCCTATAAACCTGATTCTGTGGTTAAACAGTGTGTGTGTGTGTGTGTGTGTGTGTGTGTGTGTGTGTGTGTGTGTGTGTGTGTGTGTGTGTGTGTGTGTGTGTGTGTGTGTGTGTGTGTGTGTGTGTGTGTGTGTGTGTGTGTGTGTGTGTGTGTGTGTGTGTGTGTGTGTGTGTGTGTGTGTGTCTCAGAGGCAGGACGGTAAGGTGGTGTCGTCAGGTTCAGGCTGCGAGCTGAGCGAGATGATGAAGCGCCGCCTGGAGAGCGTGGCCAGCACCGGAAGCTCGGCCAGCTCTGGCTTCGTCGAAGATAAGAGCTACTGCGACTCGGAGGAAGAGGAAGAAGGTAAAGGCCAAGCACGTCTTGCTTCCCTTCCACCCCCCCCCCCCCCCCACTCCTCTGTTTGTCTCCACCCCTCCTGCCCCAGGAACGTAGGCTCCCCTCGGATTGTTTTCTGATGGGACGTTTCCTCCTCCTGTTCAGCAGTACAATCGCTGCAGCAGGAGCCTCTGTCACCCCACTGGGTCTGGGGAGGCGTCGGTTTGTTTCCTGTCCTGACCCGAGTGTTGCTCCGCGGCTCCAGCTCTGACACGGCACGTCGGCCATGTTGTCCCCGATGTGTTATTTCTGGTTTGATTAGCTGTTTACTCAGGTGGGCCAGTGGAAGGCCTCCTCGTGAGTTCCTCTCTCAGACCCCCCAGCAGCACTCGGCCCGTAACCACACATTTCACCTGCATTTGGAGAAGAAAGAAAAGAGGAAACTGTAATTTGTTTTCATGTGGAAAGGATGTTTTGAGTGTGTAGGAGGACGGATTGTTAAGCAATGTGTTTTTGTCAGGGACTTTAAAATTGCAGTTTCCCCATGTGAACAATTAATAGATGAGTAGGATTAAGTGTCCTAAACTGAAAGACAGCATCATAATTAAAAAAATCATTCTCACTGGGAATACTTTGTTGTTTTTGTTTTACAGAATCTGAGGATTTGTATAAGAGAGTCCTGACGTTGGAAGATTTAATTTGCTACAGTTTCCAAGTTGCAAAAGGCATGGAGTTCTTGGCTTCACGAAAGGTATACTCTTTTCCACACTCCTCTCAGAAATCACTCTTAAGACACTTAAGACACTGCATCTACATTTTGACAGATCTTTTTAGTTGGATTTGGATTTAAATGTTGACACATTTTACCCAGTAACTCATTCACTCTTGTCTAACTGGTGTGTTTAAACCATTAAAGTCAACTGAGTCCAAGTAGGATTACACTTTTTCACTGTAAACATAATATATAAGCAAAAAGCAATGTTTTTACTTAAAGGTCCCATGTCATGGCCATTTCTACTGATCATAATTCTATTGTTGAGGTATAATATATTTATATTGTGCAATTTTCCAAACTCACATTGGTTTCTCATACAGCATCTCTGTATAGCATGTGTATTCACTCTCTGTCCTAAACGGCTTGTTGGAGCTCCTGCCCCCCCCCTCCCTGTGAGCCCACTGTGCTCTGATTGGTCAGCTCGCCCACTCTGTTCTGATGAGTCCACCACCGTTAAAGCGGAACACCAGTGATTATGTGTTACAATGGCGTTAGCAACCAGAAAATGACACCAGCAATGACAAACAGATGAGAATGCTGCGTGTGAGCTGGATTACTGGTGTTGTCTCCTGGTTGCTGCGTGGGGTCTGCGGGACAGCGGGACACGGCGAGGCCCGGCCCGAGCTCGGCCGGAGCACACACACACAGACCCGCAGCCTGGCTGTGGGTCTGTGTGTGTGCTCGGACCGGGCCCGTCACTTGGTTCCCGGAAGAAAAAAATGGAAAAAGAAAAATCTCCAACGAGGCGTTCTGGGGCAGCATAGACAGCTCTTTTCTGTGTTAGAGTTGTACTCGCTACAGGGTGTACTTTGAGGGTTTGTGACTTGGCAGACCTGTTTAAATGCATAAAAAGCTTCCTAACACACAAGGGGACGGGTAATAACCAGAAAAGCATGACATGGGACCTTTAAGTCGAATGTGAACCTTTACTATGACACACTGTTACTCCAGTGTTTCTAAAGGATGTCAGTGTATAGTTCATTCATTTTACAAGTCATTCATAATTCTGGGGAGACCGGATGGGACTGGTTAGGCAACGAAGCCATTGTTTTAAATCAGTCGTTACGGACCGTTTCTTAGCCTGGATATGGAACACATCATCTCCTATTGAAATATCACTGATGACTTGACCATGTGTTGCTCTGCCAGCATTGATGTTTTTTAGCCCGCAGAATGCCTTTGTGAAGTCAATTGCAAGCAGAAAACCTAAACGTATAAATGTAAATCACGCTGAACACACTTTTTTTTCCTTCCTTTTTTTCATCAGTGCATCCATCGTGATCTGGCTGCTCGAAACATCCTGCTTTCTGAGAATAATGTTGTAAAGATTTGTGATTTTGGACTTGCCAGAGACATCTACAAAGACCCGGATTATGTTCGCAAAGGAGATGTAAGTTTATTCAAGTCTAGTCAAACTTTTTCCAGCTGTTTTACAGATTAAATGCTTAAAGCACTTGCAAAACAGTAAGCTATCACTGGCAGAAAACAGGAGGACTGAGTTAATACAGCAGTGCTTGGAGATCTAACAAGATAATTGAGATTAGTGTGTTTGTTTGAATCCTAGACAAAGAGAACCGGCCTAAGAGAATAGCTCTTCAGAATTAGCACCTGCTCACACAGTTTAAACCACCTGATGCTCCACAGATGTCATAGTCTAAGTAGTGAGATGTTCACAGCTCTGAGATAAGGGAGTTTTAAACAAAAGGTTATCTCTATATCTGCACAGGCCAGACTGCCGCTCAAGTGGATGGCACCTGAGGCCATTTTTGACAAGATCTACACGACTCAGAGTGACGTCTGGTCCTTTGGTGTTCTCATGTGGGAGATCTTCTCTCTGGGTAAGTGTCGTGGCTCAGCAGTGAACACTTGTTACTAACGTGCTATCATACAGTGAGGCCAAAGAAGTCTGCCTTTGCATAAAACACACAAACGTTAGGAGAAAAGAAAACTAATATTTATAGTGTACTACATACCAGTTCATATTTATTTTATTAGACATATGTATGTTTACAAAGGGTTGTAAAGTACGAGAGAACAGGTTAGCCACTCGCAATATGTGCAGTAGTCTTATTAAACTTAAGGAGGGGAAAAAGGACAATAAGTTGCCGGATAAGATGAGAGAACATACACGATGAAACAAAGAAAAACTGGATTGTGAAAAGTTTATCCAACAGTAGTGCACAATTGTAATGAAAAAAGAGAAGACTGTTACAATGATTCAAGGACTTAAATGTTGAAATATCAAGTTCCAGTGTTCACTGTCTGGATTTCCATTCCTCAAAGTTATAACCTGTTATATTTACAATCATTTCCACACTTGCATACAAAAAAATAAAATTCCCATAATTTCCTTGTCATACAATAAATGTACATTCCATGTAGTCCCAGCTAATATTAAGCCTAGCATCTCAGTTAACCTCTCTGTTATCAGAGGTGATCATTGAGAATAGAGCTCTACACAGAGACTACCCAGATGCATGAGAAATAATGGTCTTTTTCTTCTGTGTAATTCTGTCTTTGGGGACAAGGGGCCTTAGTCAACCTGAGAAATATTTTGTGCCACTCCACTTAGTGAGGTTAGACTTAGATTTTGAGTACAGGCATGGGACATTAAAACCAGCGAACACCTCCTATTTAAGCCGTCCGTTTGGTCCCAGCTGGAAACACAAACTGTAACCAGGCAGCCGGATCGGTGTAAAAGTGCTTCCCTGCTGTGAAACCACTGCAGCCTTTAAGGCAGCATTGTGTGTGAGTCCATGATTGCCTGCGCACCGAGGCACAGAGCTCACCACACGTTTCTATAGCGAGACTCAACATGAAATAATGTATGTTTAAATGTCACCATGGGAAGCAGTGGAAACATAAGAGAAAGTGTAACTGAAGTTGGATGTATTGCTATTCTGTACGTTTTGCTGTTTTTGAATCTCGTCACCCGCTGCAGTTGAAAAAAAGTGTGTCAAATTGCATATTCTTTCAAATGTAAAGCACACTGACGTCATTATGACACTTTCCCTTTTGTCTTTCCTTCTTTTTTTATGGTCCCTTTCTCCCTCTTCTTCACTCTTGACACATTCTCACCACATTTTTTCCGTTAAAGAAACACTTACACATCTGGGTAGTGTTAGCGGGGCCTCAGAAAAATAAATCAGGAAACAAGGATACAAAATGTCCAAGAAAAATGGCAAAAGAAGTGAGCTTCGCAACCTGATCATGTCTGAGGTCAAAAGTTTCAGGGTAACCCAAGCGTGTTTTTCACATCGCTCTTTGAACCAAAAGTGTGTCAGTTCCGTTTTGGGGTTTTAAATATCCAAAGCTTGTTTATTTAGGGTTTATTCCAAAAAATAAAGCATGTGTTTATCATTCTGAATATTCACAACAAGGGGAGATTACCTTTTTATATAGAGAAGGAAATGAGAGTATATTATGTTTCATTATTATATAGGTAATATCTTCGGACTGGAGAGGAACACCATACCATAGAATATGATAGAATTAGATACGATGATGTTTATTAAACACATTTGAGCTGCACCAAAGTTAATGGAAAGTCAATTGTAGGCAAATTAAATGTTTCTAAAAACTAAATCTTTGAGTAAAAGCTATGTATCTAACATTTAGTTGGAAATGTCAGTTTGATTTTGGACTTCGATGTAGAAAAATAACAAGACATTTTGTCATATATTTTGTTGAGTGTTTTACATTATCCTCAAGTTTTCTATTTATTTTCAAACCTAAAGAAATCATTATTTTAATCAAGATGCCCGTCCGTTTCATATACCCTCTGTGCATGCGTCTGCAATGTGGTTGTCCGTCAGAGATAACATTAGCTCAGTTTTTATTCAGCTCTCAGCCACATTGTTACTGTTTACTCTTGGCAGATCCTAGTCATCAGACATCTGGACCTTTAAGTGATCAGAGGAAAGGGTTGAGAAAAAGGTTAGCCTTTAGCTGGTCGACATAGCTGTGGTTTAGGCAGGCGTTGTGAGGCAGAACTAACGTCACACTTATGGTCGTGTTGCCTTTGACTCATAGCGTTATCAGTGGCGTCCGTGGGAAACGTACAGTATTTGGGGGATTTGGGATGGATCCGCCCTTGACGAAGATGGTGTAGGCGAAACATTTGGAAAAACTCGGGCATTTGTTTGCTACACTACTACAACTGAGTGCATAGAGAGGGACTGCACCACAGGGGTGTCTAAACGATCCATACTTCAGAACATTTCATATTGTACGTTTAATAGCACTGGTTTTTGTCTGCGGTAACTAGCAATATAAACCGTGTGATCACAGATTTAGTTTTTTCCTTCTACAGTAAGCTTTTTGTCTTTAGAGCTGTTTGGTCGCTTTGCCAAGCTAGACTGTGGTTCATCCAAAAACTTGTATCGCCACAAAAATTGGGTTTTATATTGCATGTGGGGGTTCAAGCACACAAAATCCTTATTTATGACTCAAGAAATTGTATTATTAACATAGAATGGGCTTTATTTTCCCTCAAGAAAACAATTGGATATTGGATACAAGTTGTTTTGGTGTATGACTGCATGTTTTGGTCATGATTGGATCATGTTGCATCAGTCAAGCAATTCTAATCAATAATCCTACATAGTTGATGTTTTTCTAGCAAGTAAATGTAACACAATCTCAAGGAGTTTCTAAGAAAATGTGTGTTCATGTAGAACATCAGAGTTGGAAAGCTGCAGTGAACGCTCGCACCAGTAAAGGGAATAGACAGGTGCAAAATGACTGTGTAATTCCCTAAGAGCCTGTTGATCATATTGATATCATCCTAATAACACAAATTGTTTGAATATAAGGTCAAAACCAAGTCTAGGGACATGAGTAGAAAACAGTCATCAGATGTGCTATTATCCACATTAATCTAAAAATGAATGTATTGTAATAAAACAGTCATGCAATAAATCTTACCGTCATAAGTCAGTTTGTGTTGAAACAGATTCAGAAAGGTGTTGATTCAACTTAATGATGATTTATGAGGCTGTAGCTCGTGGTGCGGTTACACTAAATATCATTATGCAGAGATCTATTTCTGCTATACAGCCTTCCCTATATAGCACCTGTCGTACTTGCATAAGGGCTACTGAGTGTGATACACTGTCAATTGATTTTTCAATGCACAACAAATCATGATGTGATAATGTGATGAACCTCTCCCCCTCCTTCCTCTCTCAGGTGCCTCCCCGTACCCCGGCGTCCAAATAGACGAAGAATTTTGCTGCAGGCTGAAAGACGGGACCAGGATGAGAGCGCCCGAATACTCTTCCTCTGAAATGTGAGAATCTCTATTTACTATTTTCTTTCGTAAAGAACAAACAGAAGTACAAACAAACTGAACAAAGGGAAAAGGACTGTGTTTGGGAGTAAAAACTTCTCTATCCTATCCTTTCAATCCCTCTTTAAAAAGCAGGATTGCTAAAATTAAAATCTATATAACTTTCCTATAGTCCTAGAGAACTATGGTGTGTCCCAGCAAACCAGCTCCATATTCCCAGCCGTACATTCTCCTCAAAAAGGCCATGGAAAAGTTTGCAGCCATTAAAAGCTTCCCATATCAATATAAAGCTTTGTATTGTGTGTTACTCCCTCTTTGTGGTTGCAGCAGCAGGTCAGGGGTGCCTGATAAGAATCATGGGTAATCCTGCCCTGAAAGCTGCAGGAGAAAACATTAGCGACTGATTAGCTCTGATGCGGTGAGCTTGGAGCTCTGAAGCCCTTTCTGAGTGACAGCTCTGCAGATGTAACAGAGCACTGCATTTAAATGTGATGTTCCCCCAAGTGAGGAGAGCGAGAGACTGGGGATGTTTGAGCAGGGGCTGGTGGATGGTGCTGGACATAAATATCTGTGGGAGAACAGAGAGTGCTCTTCTTTGGTATCAGTGCTGTCCGTCAGGGATGCAGCTAGACAAACTTTTGTTGTAACAAGAACACTTGGACTCTCATGTCTAATGTACAGCCGATCCAGAGCCAGCGAACACAGTCTGAACCCTGAGTCTCCCTGAAACATGTGTGCATACTTTGTGTCTGGTTTTAATTTAAAATGACTCATATAGTCCACAAAACGTATTTGTTTTGAAAGCATAATACTGCACTTTTGCCTAATAATGATGTGATATCAAAAGGTCTAGAGCTTATAGCAGCTTGTGCCAAGTAAAGCTAACTGAATGAATTCTTCAGCTTTGCAAGGCATACAGAGATTGGAAATGATGGACAAAATCCAATCCAGACTGTTAGTGTTCAGTCAGAACAGAAGATCTGTAGATGCAGACCGGCTGGTGCCAAGAATCTCTCCTACTTTCCATCTAAAAGAAAGAAATAGACCCACAAGATGATATGTTCTGCAGGCTTATGGCTGTGAGGCCTGCTGCTAATTTAGAGCTAAGATAAAACTGTTGATATCAGTGTAACTGGGATGCATAGTAATGCACTCAGAGTCAGTGGGGGGGGGGAACACAGCTGATCCCCTGGACGCTGCTGCAGTGGATCAAATGTGTCTGTAAGCCCAGGTTTTGACACCTTGACCCTAACTCGTAACAGACAGTATAATGTGGAAAGCACATACGGTTGCAGGAAGGGTTGAGCAAGTGCCCCTGCAGCTCTGATTTGTCGGAAATGTTTCTTCCGTCTGTTAATAAGATCCCACCATCCTGATTCATTGCAGAGGAATTTAGCGGATGCTGCTCAGAGAGTGGGAGGACAATAAAAAGGATGCTCACTTCCCATCCCAGAACACTTGCCCAACCGGACAAAATAGCTAATTTCTACAGAACTCCCGCAACTCATCTCAGCAACACCACATTCCCTCAAACATGCAGGAGCTATTTATTCTCAGTATGCACCAGGCAGGAAATGTGGTTTAAATTGTGCAATCATACAATGTTTCTACCCCCCCCCCCCCCCCCCCCTTGAATGATATGCATTAGGCTGTGATCAAGCTCTCCACATCCTGTCACCCTTAGGAGGGCTTCCACCTGGATGACTTCATTAACGTGGGAATCACAGCATCTCAATGTAGAGAGGTTTAGATGCCCTGCACACAAACAGATGGAGAAGAAGAGGAGGGGTGGGGGTTTGTTAAAAGACCATCTGCTTTTCCAAGTCTTCAAACTTGAGATTGATAAATATGATGCCATAAGGGAATCATAATAGTTATATTTACATAAGATATCTGCAGGGAAGAACCTGGGTGCTGCAACTGAAACAAGAGAGGGATCTATCTCCCCCATCAATCCCAATCAGTAACATGCTATGAGTGTAATTTAAACAGCAGCCGTGGTGCTCTGTTTCTGAATTCCTCCACAAAACGAAACAAGCCACTGCGATAGAAACTCACATTAAGGCTCAGAGTCTTCCCACATGGGCAGAGACGCTGACAGCCTGTCAGAGACCCGAGCGAGGCCGTGTGCTCTCACACCCGAGACCGAGAGAGAATCAAACCACCAGAGAATAGAAGGCAGGATATGTAGGAATATTCTAGATGACAGTCGATGTGGAGGTGCGCCAGATGTGGTCCCTCAATGCCGAGAGCTTTGTTTATTGGACTACCAATCCGGCTTTTTCACAGTTTATATAATGCATCAACCCAAATATACTGAATGTTGTTCTTGGCACTAAGCATGTCCATCCAGTACGCTGCAGGCTTCACGAGTCTATCTAGAGTTTTTACTGAGTGATTTATTCTTTGCTCTTAGATATCAGACCATGTTGGACTGCTGGCAGGGGGAGCCACAGGAGAGACCGAACTTCACTGAGCTGGTGGAGCAGCTGGGAGATCTGCTGCAGGCCAGCGTGCAACAGGTACGGAAGACAAGATAGTGTGTACTGTTTGAACAATACATGTGATGTGTCAATGGCTTGTTTCCACCGTAGCAAGAGTGAAGAGTTTATGCTCAGCATCTGTTTGGCTCTGGTGTGAACTTACATTTACAGTAGAGGTCATACACTTGTACGGAAGTGTTTTCTCAGAAAATAACAAATAAAACAAACACAAAATCAAGTTTAAATCCAAACATACCTCATACTTCAAACATATTGTAATTCAAGTGGTCTGAAAGTCAACTTCTTCTCCCCCTGGCTCTGTTTTTCAGACTTTAGAACATCTAGCATGTTGGCAACCCTAGCAGAGGGGTATAGGGCATTTCCTGTCTTTCTCCAATTAAAGGGATAAAATGCCCCCCCAACAAAATGTTAAAATAAAACAAATGTTGCCTGCTACAGGTCATTTCTCATGTGCACAACTCTTTAGGTGATGGAAGCCTGATTTAACGGTTAAATATACAGAAGATTTTTCTATCCGAACATTAGCAAAAAAGTAAACATTGCAAAGCAACCCAAAAAGATAAGGATGGACATTATCAGCGAAGCATTCCAGAAAATCTGAGTGGATTTGAATAGTTTACCATTTTGGTTATCAGAGCTAAATGCTCACAGCTGCGGGTGAGGAGAAGACACTGATAGGCCCATTAGTTTGAAAAGATAACAGGACAGTCATTCTCATTCTCATCGTTAAAACGATGTACTGCATCACAGTTATAGTCGGGATAATTTTTTTAAATAAATGGGAGAGGCTAAGGCCAGAGAGGTTTTCACGCCTCTTCCAGAAAACTACCCTCAATTACAATCGGTCATGATGAACATTTTTTGCCAAAGGACAAAGAAAAAAAGCCTTCCCCGTTTTGACAATATTACAATACAATACAGCTTTATTTATACAGCACTTTAAACCTCCAGACCAAAGTGCTGTACAGTCAAATAAACAAAACAAAACATACAAAAAAATAACGCAGTACAGCTCACAGACCATAAAACAAGTACAAGTAAAAACAATAGACAATTTAAAAGCAATAAAAGCAACACTCTAAAAGATGTTAATACGCTAAGGAGAAGAGGTGGGTTTTAAGAAGCGATTTAAAAGCAGGCAGTGTGGCGGCCTGTCTGATATGCATGGGCAGATCGTTCCACAGTGTGGGAGCCGCTACAGAGAAGCAACGGCCCCCTCTGAGCTTTGACTTGGTTCTGGGCACGTTCAGGAGCAGTTGATCCGCTGACCTGAGAGGGCGGGTGGGCGTGTAAGGGTGTAGCAGCTCAGAAAGATATGGTGGGGTCATGCCATTTAGGGATTTAAAAGCAAATAAAAGGATTTTGAAATGAATCCTAAAATGTATTGGCAGCCAATGGAGCGAAGCCAAAATGGGGGAAATGTGGTCATATTTCCGTGTTAGTCACTAGTTATGCTTTATGAGTCACAAACGCTGTGAATATCCAGGAAGCAGTGTTGCTGATCAGAGTCTGCAGCCTAAAGGAGATCCAAAGCGGCGTCTCGCCCTGGGGGGGGGCTCAGAGTGAGAGGGGAAGTCACACTCAACACAAACACTTGAAACCCTTTGAAATGGAAAGATTGGTCTTGTAAGGGGAACTGCACTTCAAAACACATGGAAAAACATTGTTATTATTAGTGTGACGCAAGATGACATTGTCTGCTATGAATGGTGTGAAATGTCACCAACTGTTGGATGTTGGTTAGCTTTAATAAGGCTTAGAAACAAATATGAACTAGAGGAAAATCTGTATTATTATGCAAACATATTATACTCTAGGGAAATGACACGTTGTACCAATATGCTTTTTTTACCGTTTGACTTGTCAAAGTAGAAGAAAGTGTTACAAATCAACACCAGGACTCTTAGACTGAAGAAGCTGCAATAGATGGAATCAAGCAATCAATTCAGCAATTGATTTTTATTGATTATACATGTATTTATAGGGAGGCGTGTGATGCAGTTATTGGGAGGCGGGTGGCGCAGTGGGTTAGTGCACTGATCTCCGAATCAGAGGATAGCATGTTCGAGTCCCACTGCAGTCAGCGTGTCTCTCTCTTGTGGGAGCCAGCTCTTCGGCAGCAGTCAGCATGTCGTTGTGTCCCTGAGACACTTCACCCCAAATTGCTCCTGTGGGGATTGTCCACAGTATTGAGTATGTAAGTCGCTTTGGATAAAAGCGTCTAACAAGTGACATGTAATGTAATGTAATTTATGTAGCAAAAACTATATAATAGAGATTTGGTTGCTCTCTTCCGGATCATGTGAACCATTGAAGAGCTTCACACCGATTCTCATCTCAAATTAATATGAAAAATGTATTTGAATCCCTCAGCATCATCTTCCTAAAGCACAAACAGGATGATTTACAGTGTTACCCAATGAGCAACTGACATTTTAAACAAAATGGTAAAAAAATAATAATTCAAAAGATGGATGAAAATTAAAGAAAGTTGAGCACTGACTGATGACAGGAAACTGGCCAGAGCCCTAACAAGATTGAGATTACATGTAGTTTAAGTTCACAAGATGCACATAGTCATGTTTGCCACTAAGGAGAACAGGCTTCTCGTCCAGATGGTACATTACAGCAGAGATATACACACACAATGAGCAGGAATTACATTACACTTCTTCTGCATAGACTACACAGCACTGTAGATTGTACCATGGAGTAATACAAGATAAAGACAACATGAAAACTAAAACACGCCGCACTACTAATGAGCCCGTGAACGCTTCCCTCATGAGAAAACGTTCAGTCGGGACAGAGAGAGCAATGCAGGGGTTTGAATCTTATTAATAAAGGTATTGTTACAGTGCAGGAAGGCTGGTCACGGACTTTGCCGTCTCCACCGACTTCATGAACATTGTGTTGGATTTATGAGGCATGACCTCAGTTTCTTTGGCTGCTCGCCACGACCTGTGCATGTGTGTGTTTGTATAGCCTGCACACAGCATCGGCCCCCAAGCCTCTTGCCTCGTTATACTTTGCATCATTGAAGCATAAGGCTGCCCTCTTATATATTCTGTCTCTGTTTGGTTGATTTAGGAGGGCAAACACTACATACCCATCAACACAGTCCTGCTGGGGAAGCTGGGAGACCCCTCCTCCACAGCGGTGTCAGAGGAGACGACCACACGACCCATCTCCCTCCGAGACTCGGGGAGCACCTGGTGAGCACATGGGGCTCTTATTAACTGGCTAGTTTACATAAATCAGACTCCTGAAACTCTTATGTACTTGACCAGATGTTGCTATTCTATCAATTTCTTCATAGTGCTCAGTCCACCACTTTGTTTCTCACTACTGCAGGGTGTGCCATGAAAATGTGTACAGACATTCACGTCCCCCTGTGTTTAAATCCTACTTATTGTGGTGATGTCCTGACTTTCTTTAGAGCCAGCAGCCGATTTACATTTGTAGTTTTGAGTCAAATATCTCAACCTCCAATCTTTTTTTAAAGACCTAATACCTGCAAAACTGCTATCATTCCCATCAGCCTCAGCTGCACTTTGGGGTTAGATCTAATTAGAAAAGGTTTGCATGCTAACAGGCTAAACTAAGATAAGACACATGGTAAACCTCAGCATTGTCACTGTAATAATGTTAAAATGCCACAGTTAGCATTTAGCTCAAAGCATTGCAGTGCCTTAGCACAGCCTCACAGAAATATTAGCACGACTGTAGGCTTTGTGTGTGTTGGTTCAAATGTGTTACACTTGCCTATGGATTTGTTAAGACGTTCAAAGGAAATAAATCTCTATATCATAACGACATGTACACCTCAGATTGTTGAAGGCGCTGGGTCTGTTTTGCAAAGGAAATGCCTACATAATATTCCCACTTTTCAGTGAATAATATTCCAAACAGTTATTGTTCCTGGCGCGCTCAAGCTAAGCTCTACCGGGAGAACATTAAGATCTGACCTGAGGACAATGAGAGCGGACTGGAACATGATAAGAAATGTACACACGGCAGCTTGATGGCCAGAGAGCTCTCACTATTGTGGCTCCTGTGAGGAATTTCCCCAAAAAACGTAGAGCCAGCTTCTAGATTTATGTCCAAGTGTGTTTATTGAGGAGGTGTTGAAAAGCAGTAATGACAGTTAGCCTTAAAGCTAAATTAACCTGTGAGTGTTGCAATGCAAAGTAAACTGGGCGTGTTTTCAGAGTACAACGTCATAGATGTTGATTTAGTTGATTAAGTTCTTGTGGTTTTGATGTTGATCTTTTCCTCTCCTCGGCTCCAATATAATCAAAGGATTCTTAAAGCAGAATGAGAACACTTTGGAGACTTAACATGGAAATATTTTCTCGCCAGGAACATCAAGATCCGTCCTGCCAGTGTGAAAACCTTCGACGAGGTCACCATGGAGGACGGGACAAATGAAAACCATGAGGTGAGTTATTCATTCTGGACGTCAACCAGAAAACAGACACGCAATCTGTGCTTTAACTTATCCTAAACTACGCAATTAGTTAGATGCCAGACATTTGACAGTTAGCTGGAAACTTCACCCTGCGAGATAAATGTCCATTTTTACTTGACTTACTCTGATTAACTTTAGTAGAGGATAAAACAATATTTTTGATAGGACACATTTAGGGAGGCGTGTGGCGCAGTGGGTTGATGCGCTGATCTTCGAATCAGAGGATAGCAAGTTTGAGTCAGCATGTCGTTGTGTCCCTGGGCAAGACACTTTACCCCAAATTGCTCCTGTAAGGATTGCCAACAGTATTGAGTATGTAAAGCGCTTTGGATAAAAGTGTCTAACAAGTAACATGTAATGTAATTTATTCTATCTGAAACAGTGTGCTTAAAGTATACACTTCAAAGTTTATTAGTTCAACTTTTACATTTCTGCCAGCATTTCACCATATTATTCAATACCTCACATTACATTTTATTTTGATTCCCTGCACTGATGCCTCACTGCCATAAAAAGCTGGATGGTTTCAAAGCTTTTGCAACTTGATAGTGATAAAAAGTCATTGTGCAACACTGGGTTGAAGTTGTAATGCTAAACGCAAGAATCCTGACAAAACAAAACAGAACAAATAATATGTTTTGTTTAATGTGTGTTGTTTAATCTTGCTATCTACAAATCAGAAATATTGCATGCAAGTCTTTGATGCAGCAATTGTTGCGAAATGTAGCAGCAAGGCTTCAAACTAACACGGGACTTCACTCATGACTGAAGTCCTTTGACTCCATACACGTTTCAAATTAAGATTTTGTTGATTGCGTTTAAAGCCCTCTGTGGTTTGGCTTCAGTATTTATTTCTGATCCTTTAAGTGCTTGTTCTGCACGAAGACCTTTAAGTCTGATCAGGGGTTCACTCTTTAAGCTCCAAACACTGTGGGGCAAAGTCTACTCTACTGTCAGATCATATGAGGCTCTGCGGCATTTAAGATTAATGGGCGTCATGATAGCTAAAAGTGTCAAATAAAGATAAAAGTAATCCTAAAAGAAAATTGAATAGGCTTCCGTATCCCTGGTTTTATGATGTTGATATCTATGTGTGACTATGTATTTCATACCTTGATATGTTGTGTGAAGCACCTTTCCAAAAGGTTCTATAAAATAAAGTTTACTTTCTATATTTAAGATGACAAATACATTTATGGTCTTAATTATTCTCCCTCTCTCTGTCTCTGCATCTTCATCATCAGGGCGGTCAGACGGACAGCGGGATGGGCCTGTCGTCAGACAACATGGAGACTCTGAAGCGCCTCGAATCGTTGGCAGGCCGACCTCTGAGCATCATGGCTCTGGCGTACGTACACTACACCACACTGCACCCCCTCCACATGTCCTGCAAGCAACAAATCAGCACACACTAGAAGAGACTGCAGAATACCTGCTTGGAAACCTCCCCGCTGTGCTGGAATGCAGACGCTATAACTGTCACACACACACACACACACACACACAAGTTTCTGCTGCTTTAAAAAGAAGTCAGCGGCTAGTTTTCCCTTTTGTCTGGAGAAAGCATGCAGCGACACAAAGGAGAAGTAGGAGGGAAAAGCTTGAAGGTGACAAAGTGAAGGACTGAGCACAAAGCAGAGTGGCTGCGTCACATGAGGTTGGGCTGTTTTAAGAGTGCTCACTAAAAACCCTTTTGTTTTCACGAAAAGAGTCCTGAATGAGATACCTCCCAGTCTGATTTAACTTGTGAGTCATGGCTGTTTGGTTTAAAGCAACGCTACGTAACTAACACACATAATCTCAAAGTAGTGCCATAGGCTTACCTACTGTACTCCAAAATCCTGCAGATCGTTTGATGACTTTAAGATGTGGATCCAGCAGGGGCAAGTATATAAAACTGTCGTGAAGGGGGGAGAAAGAGAGAGAGTGTGTTTTTACTTTATGGGTTATTTGAGGATACAGTCAAATCTGAGTCAAATTTCTGTAAATCTTTTTCTAATGAGGGTCTCTGTAGGTGACTAAAGGCTTACACGTGAAGTTTACAGCAGCTCAGTGGCAGGGTTCATTTAGAGGCCCAACCTCTGAACTCAGTAATTACACTTTAAACCTTGTGGTATTATTCTGCTCCACGCACAGTAGCAACAAGTAATGCTACTTCAAAGCATTGTGGCTTACACTTATAGGATTTAAAAGTGAAACGGCTGTAAAGTATATTGTCATAAAGCTAGTCTTTATGTTTCCCGGGGCCAAATCTCTGTTAAGTTTATGAGAAAAGAGTGTACAGCATTAAAGTGCTTATAAAATATTAGGAAGGAGCGTGTAAACAACTGCCAGGAAAGTGACTTATGAGACGCACTTAGCAGAGTTAATGACACTCTGAAGCGGTGTTATTAATTTACAGCTCAACAAACTCACTTTTTCAAACAACCACACAAAGTGTTTTTAAAAAATCTACCAAGCCTCATTACAGGCCTGTTTGTGTCATCAGGGCAGACAGAATCAGGCCAGGCATGCAGAGAATGATCCACATTTTGAGGGAGGACTTCCTTGCTGGGCGACCGCTCAATCACTGCCACCTTTGAACTTAGGAGGGCCTCCCCTGTTAGCTATAGCGCTCCTTCTGTTAAGCTGAAGTCCACCTGTTGCTCGCTTGGCCTTCACCACTCCTCGAGCCGGACTTCTCTTGAACAGGAGCACTCAACAAAACAGTCTTTGGTTATTTGGAAAGGGCTTGTGGCTGAATGTAACTCTTCACAAGCTGTACGATCCCTGTATGATAGAAGACTTCAACAATATGTGCTAATGCATTCAGCTCAGAGAGAAGGGGAAATTCACCCTGACACATTTTGTTTCCTGTTGCTCAATTGCCAGTGTCCCCCCCACCTTCTTCTTGGTATTGGCAAGGACAAACTGTACTATTGTTAATTTTCTTTTTGATGGCTGGTTCATCAGGTAGTTATTCATAAGGGCAGCATTCCAGTATGACAGCGTCACTTTACCCCCGCTGGGCGCTGACCCTTTGGCCTCGAGAGAGGAACCCTGGAACCCTTAGCAACCTCCAAAGACAATAAGAGGCAATTACTCATATTCTGAGCATCAAATGAAGCAGAAGGACTCAGGATGATTGATTACATCATATGAATAAGGAGAGGGTAGTGTGATTGTACAGCTTCACAAAGAGCTTTAAATTCTTTAATCAAAGAATATAAAAAACAGACCTCTGCTGTGACAAAGAACTTGATATATATATATTTAAAATAAGTGCTCAACTGGTTGTTCACTTATTTTCTGCAACAATTTCAACCGCAATTGCCAAATGTTTCCACAGAAGTTATGCCAACCGAATTATTTGAATAATGCTCTAACACTATATGAAATCAATGCATTGACCATTTAGTGACCCGTACTGAGGACACAAGAGTAGTTGTTAGTAGTGTTTTTGCAATTGAAAGTGTTTATTGTTCAGAAAACCAATAAATCTATTGTTTCTAACGTCATATGACTTTTGGATTTACCACAGATTAACTGAAAATGTTGTGCTCTGTCCAACCAGCCCATAGACTATTCAATAAACACTAATACAAAACAGAGAATCATTAAATCATAACGTTTCAGATGCTGAGACCAGAGAATACACATTTTCTATAGCTGTGACCATGTTCCAGCATTGATTGTCGCATTAAGGCATACACACACACAACCTTTCAGACACTTGGCCTCTATTTCAAATTTCTGCCTCCAAGTGCAAAATCAGTGGCAAGACATTTTTGTTTTGCTGTGTTGTTAATAAATAAGGAGAAGCATCCCTCTGATTCCACTTTCTGTCATTCCAGTGACATTTTATCTGGTATTTGTATGTTGTTTTCAAGCATGTGTTTATGCCTTATTTGCTTGAACATGATGCATTTGTTATCGTAGAGATATTTCTGTCTCATTAATGCCGCATCTCTCTGTGTTTCCAGGATGAAGGCAGTGAGCAAGAGCAAAGAGTCGGTGCTGTGTGACTCGGAGAAGGAGAAGTTCCCGAGCGGGGTCACCTCTCTGGACTTCGGTCTGGACGACTCGGCCCTGGATGTGGGTCTGGAGTGTCACAGCCCTCCGCCCGACTACAACTATGTGGTGCGCTACTCCACCCCGCCTGTGTAGCCTCATGCTCTGTCCCTGGAGAATCTGATGAACAGCCTCGAGGCATTTGCTTTGTTCTCCTCTGGTTTGACTCTTATCTCTGGACTGTAGCAAAGTTTGAGAGGAAAACACATGAGATTCTCCGGTAAAGTGTTTTGAAAGGTCGCTCTGAAATGAAACATGAACCTACTCGACTGTTACTTCCAACGTTCAGGGCGCCTGCTGAGCAACAAAAGGAAACCTGTAGACTGTTGATTTCATTCCAGTTTTCAGACACAGGCTGACATTAATGCTGCTGGTCCCTTCCACATTCACTGTGATATGTCAAACAGCTGGAAACAGCCTCAGGTATTTCTTTCATCTACTGTGAAAACCAGCTACAATCACTCCCACTTTACTGCAGATCAGATTAAACTACCACCTTTGATGATTAGGAATAAATCCAGAAAAGAAAAGCAGAGAGAATAGCTGAGGTTTATGAAGTTTTTTATATATATCTGTTTTCATTTTATTCAAAAATGAAAACTGGATTTGTAATTTTTGATAACGGTTAAAGAGAAAATATTTTTAAGATATGGATACATCTGCTCATATGAAGGTTAGAAAAAGTTCAGACTTGCTCAAAGCAAAATCAGTCTTAACTTGTATTATTAATTGTGAAAAGGATTGTGTTTTGGGTGTCGTTGCTCCTTAAATCCAATTAAAATCAGCTCAACTAACTCAGGATGGCCAATAGTGACTGTTTCGTGTTTATAAGCTCTTGGTTATGGGAAATCGCAAGTTAGCGGAGGTAAAGGGAGGAAACAGGGTAGAGAGTAAAAGCAGACGGCTTCAGGATTAGCATAACAGCTTGACCATGAAATCACTTAAATCAAGAGTTACTGTAAATGCAGATTCATCCTCCTGCCCCTATCAGGTGCTGAAGAAACTAAAAAGGTTGTTACTGTTTGGTCGAACTAAAAGAAAGTGAAGAAAATTAGATTTGTTTATTTAGCTTGTGTACAGATTGGGTTAGAAAATGCAATATTAGAACAAGTGTTCATGGTAACATTTATTTATTTAGATTGTGTACACTGTCACTTAGTTATTTAGTTCTGTTTGTTTATTTAGATTTATAATTCATGAGTCAACCAAAGGATTTTTTAAGCCCAGTCTTCCTCATATCAACATGTAATATCCCAACACTTCACTCCAGATGTATATGTTGTTTGTGCTGCTGTATTCACTTAAAGTAAAGCTAAGGGAAACATGTAAGTGTATTTTATCCGTCCTTTGTTTTGTGCTACGTGTTAGTAAAGCTTGCAGGGCAGGCTACACAAACTCTACATGTATGTGAAGTGAGCACCAGTTTGCTCGGATTCACAGTTATTGTTTGTTATCTTGTCAAATCGAGTGTTTTGTTTGTATTACCCGATGTGTTGAAAGTACTGTGGTCCAAACTTAGCTTACACACCCTGTAGAAATGTGGCTAGCTTGTGCTTGTTGACCACAAAATAAACTGTATTTGCCAGTAAGTAAACTGAAGTATAAATTGGATATTTTGAACCCCTGTGTACTTCAAAATTATAATTAGTTTGTCTATATGGAGAGGAAGTAATTATGCACTGATACTTTATATCAAGTATAATTTTTGTATTCTTAAAGTATATTATTATGAAACAGTATTGAGGGTCACGTTACAAAGATTTCCGATTTATTTTGTTTTTATTTAACTCTTAACTCTAGTAGGAAATTAACATTTGCAGTATTTGCTATATTATGTTTGCATTTAATGTCATCCTAAAATGTCAAACCTCTTTCTATTATTTTAGTTTCTGCTATCACAATAACATTCAATAGATTATATTGCATTTCTTTATACATATCCATGAGTAAGAAGACCTCCTAGCTTTGTCTGTTTTGTTCATGTAGTCTCACAAGTTGTTTTTGTGAAAGTAATGCTTCCCAACACTGTTATCTGAGTATATGAATAAATGAATAAAGATTATATATTTATACGTTACTTGCAGTCTTGACTCACAATTTCTTAAACAACTATTGAGAAAAAGGATATATGTACTTGTGTACTGGGCTAAGACTAATGTCCCCAAAGTATAAATACTTAGTTTTTATTGGTGTAAAGTAGCTACGTACATTTACTCAGGTACTCTACTTAAGTACAATTTTGAGATACTTGTACTTTACTTGAGTATTTAAATGTTTTGCTACTTTGAACTTCTACACCACTACAATTTAGAGGTTAATGGTATACCTCAACTCCACTACATGTATTGTATACCTTTAGTTTCTAAGCAGATTTGGATTAATGATATGTGATATGATGCAAGGGCCCATGTCATGCTTTTCCGGTTGTTACCCGTCCCCTTGTGTGTTATGAAGGTTTTATGCATGTAAACGGTCTGCAGAGTCAAAAACCCTCAAAGTACACCCTGTAGCGAGTAAAACTCTAACACAGTCTATGCTGCCCCAAAACGCATCGTTGGAGATTTCTCATTTTCCATTGTTTACTTCCTGGGTACTGTGACGTGTGAATACCCAGAGGCCACACCCTCTGCCAGCATTTCACGAAACAAAGCTTCACAAACCTTTCAGCAATTCATGCCGGATATGTACAGCGTAGGGCACTGAAGAACGATGCTGTTCCTACTTTGTTTGGACCAGCGGGAGATTCGGGTACACAACCTGTAAGTATTCATTGTTGTTTGTGTATTTATGATGTTTAAAACAAACAAGGTATCTACCACGACTGTTTAAATGTTTTTCGGGCTGCTAAGTTGGGATCGCGGAGAAATGCTCTCCGCAGGCGCAGACCCATTCTCACAGCGTTATAAACCTTTTTCTTAACAATATCAAGCCACACTTATTGTTTTGACTTCGGCTGTGAGTGTTTGTGTGTGCTCAGGATGAGTTTCGCTTGTTCTCGCTGTATCGCCGACCCGGAAGCCTGTCCACTCCTCGCAGCAGATCGCAGCAACGAGCCTCGCAACGTCCCGGCCAATCAGAGCATACTGAGCTCACAGGGAGGGGGGGGCAGGAGCTCCAACAAGCCGTTTAGGACAGAGAGTGAATACCGGTGAATACACATACTTTACAGAGATGCTGTATGAGAAACCAATGTGAGTTTGGAAAATTGCACAGTATAAATCTATTTTAGTATACCTCAACAATGGAATTATGATCAGTAGAAATGGCCATGACATGGGCCCTTTAAAGTGTTATAAAAACTGGTAAAGGTGCAGCTAGTTTTAATGACTTGGTAGGGTAGGCTATGCTGCAGGGTAGCTTGTGAATTTACTCCAGGTGGTGTTGATTATATTTCACATCATTAATCTAAATCTCTAACTAAAGACATTAAATAAACGTGGAGGAGCAAAAGTACACTATTTACCTATGAATTGTAGAGGGGTAAAAGTAGAAAGTAGAAAAAAAATTGAAATACTTGGCTACAGTAATTAAGTAAATGTACTTAGTTACTTTACACAAATGCTTGTAATAGAGTATTCCTATACTGTGGTATTTCTACTTTTACTTGAGTACAAGAAATTAGTAGGCCTACTTATTTCCCCCCGTTTTTTACGCCACCTAGAGGTTACATTTTAATTCAACATGATTATCTGCTTAAAGTAATGGCAGTTGGCCTCGACAATGAGCCTCGGTGGTCTGTTGACAATAACGGTTGGCCAAGAATCAAACGTCTCCATGCTCTGTTCAGGCTGTGAAAACATGCATAGAAACTAAAACGAGTCAGAAGTGAGTAAGGAAATGTAAAAAATAATGTATTACTTTGAATCAGTTTGCTGGCTGCTAGGCTAATTTATGCTAGCTAAAATACTATAGCTAACATGATTTGTTTGTTTGTTTGGTGACTAGCTAATGGCAATTGTTTAGTTTGTGAACCTTGTGAGTTAAAATGGAGCACAATGTTTTCCTTTGTTACAAGATGTTTTTGGTTTATGTGTGTTAGTTGAATCAATTAACGTAAACTTAGCGACACTTTATCAACCGCAGTGACTTCCGCATATAGTGACGTCACATGCATATAGACATTTTTGCCTCTCACATGTTATGCTATTTATTAATGTTGATTGTGTTGGTTTGAGCTGCCAGTGTTAGAGATATCATGCATATCATGTCTGCCTCTTAAATATAATGGAACTAGATGGCACCAGACCTGTAGTGTTTGAAGTGGAAAAGTAGTTAATACAAGTTGTTAATAATTTAACAACCAGCTAATATATATTCAACACTCTGCAACTCACACCACAAAAATCGAGATAAATAAATATCACTGCAGGTATTTTTGTCTTTGTAATCAAAGGTAATGCTAAAAACTACTACAATTTAACTGAAAGTCTCACGAATTGTGCAATTTTGCAACATTTCTCATGACCCTTCAAATTCATTTCTCCTGCCTCTCCCCTTAAAGGATCCCACCCTGTTGGGAACCTCTGGCACAAACAAACAGGACCGGTGGCTTTGGACTATTTTTAAATCCAACCAAGTTGATTCACAGAATCAAAATAAGACTTTATTAATCCCAAATGAATGATTAAACCTTAATGAAGAGGTGTGTTCAGATTGGTCCTTGCTGCTCCTTGGACTGAGAGACTCACTTCCTTCTGCAGGACAAGATGTCGGCAGCCTGTCTGCTCAGCAGGACAATGCACCTCCGAAACGGAAAGGAAAGAACTCTTAATCATCCTCGTCACGACCGGAGGACGCCACACACGGGGCTTCCTGTGGGGGTGCAGGGCGCAGGGTTACCGGCACTGGGTGTGTCCGATGGGAGCACACGCCACAAGACAGGTTGGCTCGGACTGTCTCCACTTGTCCTGACAGGATTTACTACTGTTGACTGTAAGGTAGGAGCACAACATTACACCAGAAACATTATCAACAACCTCGTACTGTTTCCAGAATATGACAAACAAACAAACAAGGGAAGGATGTTGAAGGGGGGGGGGGGTTCTTGAGATTTGAGAATCTGCATCTACGCAGTGTTTTTCCATACAGGCATCCGTAAGAGGGCTGCCCTTATCCTCTTCTGAGGGGCCACTCCGCCCAGGGCAACACTGCCGCTGTTTATTAAACTTCTTTCTTGCCCCCTTTAGTCAATTAGTGGAGTGGTGTATGTTTCGGTATTAGTCAACTATATAAAAAATACAAGCCAGTGAAAAGTGAAAAACAGAATTTCCCCCTAGTGGGATTAATAAAGGTTCATCTTCTTCTAAGCGTTCTTTAGTCAGTTAGTCATTTCGTGCTGATTTTACATTTTCCAAGAAGCTTATGAGCACATCACCAGTAAATACAAAATCTTAAGTGGTGCTTTTCCATTATTGGAGAAACAGATCTTATGATTAAGTCAACTGATTGATTAGTTGGTGAAAATGCTTAGGAGTTTTAGTCAACTAAGAATTTTTTTGGGCGAAGAAAGCCATAATTGTTTGTTTTATTAATTAAAAAGATATAAGTACAAGGAAAAGTTACTAATGCAGATTCAAGTTCAGTTCACAATTCACATTTTTTAAACATACTAAAAGAGTGGTACTTTGGAAGATAAGTAGACTCAACTTGTCTAACTCAGACTCATGAATCGTATTTACTTTCAAGAGTATTATTGAACAAACTATACTCTTATTGTGTCTTTGCAATAAACAAGTTGCAAGAAAGGACATTCACACTATTGAGCAACACAATGTCAGTGCCATGACCTTGATAACTTCTCTTTATTGTTCTGTGATCAGAAGTATTACTAATATAACCTGTGGGAGCGTAAATCTGTCACCAGAGCAGGATATTAGTCGAGGCGTTTTGGCTCTAACTGCAACCTTATATTAAGTCCAAAGTGAAGTCAGTTGTTATTAATATAGGCCAAAAGTCCAATTTCACACATTTACTACAGGGGGCTTTACAGTCTGCATCTCTCTTTAGGGTTTCGATAGAATTTATTTTAATTTTATTTGACATAATGTATCTTGCATTTGTAATAATTATGAGTTGAAGTAATTCATTATAACAATACCAGCGAATAAGTAAAACCCCCCCGTAATAATGAATTCAATTCATTGGAAGGAGAGATAAGGAAATGTAAATGAATAGAGGCCGATGGCAGAATGGATGGCAGCACATCTGAGATCTGAGGATATGAAATGGTTTCCAAACCAGGAAAACATTTCTGTTGGAAAAATAAACTTTAACAGAAAAAAAGGAGCACACCTCAGACAACAGAGATGAGGAACCCCCTCCTCAGGATCTAATCATTCTGTCCAAGTATTTAGTTACGGAAAGCAAACATATTACATATAATAATCAGAAATGTTCTGATCGTATCAGATACCACACCCACTGCAGTCTGTCTTTGACCTTTCTTTAATACTTCCACAGCCTATTCCCACAGCAAACAGATCTGCAAAGCACCTCATTAATCAGAAAAAAATGACCTGACACACCCAGGATCCATCTGATCTGTGCAGCTTGAAATCCTATCATTCACTACAACCCCGCCCCCCCCCTTCCATATATAAACGGTGCACAATGTTTTTCCCAGACCCCTGCCCAAGAAGGTGAATGGAGGGTAGCAACATCCGCGCCTCTCACCTCAATGCAAAACAATGAGCCGGATACTACCTAACGTCAGTGCACCTTTCACAAGCAGAGGACAACAAAACAACACGTAAAGCTAAATAAAGACTCTTCTATAACGGGCTTCAGCACCACTGTAGTTCAAAGGGGGAAAACAACAACAGGTTAATATAATGTTGTGTGTAGAATCTATTTGAATTTGAATTAAAAGAACAAACAACAAAACCTTTATCAAGGCAAACACAGCTTTGAACCCTAAACTAATGGATCTTGAAAATGCATTCTACAAGAACAGAAAGCTTGTATAGTCTGCCTACCAAAACGTTGTACATATTGCACCATTTTTCCTTTATTCATAGCATGTGTTCCCCTTCTGTCAGTCCCTGTTTGTTTACGGATGACAAACAGAGACCAGACTTA